AAAAAGCAAAATCACGTGTGGGAGAAAGAAAGGAGGTTGGTGATCGAGAGGAACAGAAGAGAGACAGAGAGGAGGAGGAAGAAGAAGCCCGGCCTGCTCGGGCGAGGAGGCTCCTGGAGCTCCTTCGTCGGCGGCTGCTCGTCGGTAACTACCGAGCCGCGCGCGCCACCCTACACCCCGAACTTCCTTTTCTCCCATGTCTCTCTCTCTCTCTCTTTCTCCATGTGTGTGTGTGTATTTCGTCGGCACTGCTACTACTGGTGGTACTTGGGTGGTTACCACCACCGCGGACATGCGCTCTTTGGGGCGAGTTGTTCATCCCTCTCTCTTTTTATACCCCCCCCCCCCCACATACACATACAAGCGACAAACCTCGAAAGGCAGTGAACTTATATACTCTTATGTGTACGTTATTGTGTGCTTTTTCCTTGCAGCTTTTTCTCGTCTGAGCGTACGTGGATTGTACTACTGATGATACGGGAAGCGCAGCTGTGAATCGACTTATCTCGCTCGGGTAAGGTATACAGGGGGCGGGGAGGATATGGATTTTTTTTGGGGGGGGGTATAGGTTTTTTTTTTTTTTAATTTGATATTAACAAATAGAAACAAATTGTTTGACACCTTTTTCCCCCTGACCATCACTAATGTGGTGATTGAGATTGTACGGAGAGAAAAAATTACAACAGAGTCGAAAATGTATCAAATATTTTTTTTTTTTAAATTAATTGAAAAATGCTTTATAAGCGCAGCGGTGTGATTTCCTTTTTAAAAATCTCTACGGTACATGCATATCATTTTAATCAAGAGCAAAAGAACAAAGAGAAACAAGAGACGTGACAGACTCTCTGCGAAGAGTTAAATCTCTGCTCTCACGTCTGATGGAATTTTCGTTCTAATGATAGTCAAATAGCAGGTAGTTGTTGAAAATTCACTCGTTACCGCGACAGAGGGTGCTTCGTTATTTTTACATTACAACCCTGAAACCATAATACTGGAGATTTACTCAAACAATTATAGTTAATCCAGACTTGGGTACAATTGCGTTATGGATTTTTAAATAAAAGTCACCCTCACAAATGTGTTTTAGCTAGACAATCTTTTTTTCTCTTGTTAGGTATTCAACGAAAACTTTACCAACAAATTATCATCTTCCAAATTTGTCTCTCCTTCGAAACATGATGCACTACTTTTGTTAAAAAAAAAAAAAAAGAAACAGCTCTTCCCCCTTTGAAGAGATAGTTTTTTAATTTTTCACGAGCTCGAAATCCATCCCCTTCTTTTGTTATTAGCCCTCGAAAACTAATTTCGCCGACTAAAGGGGAAATAAAACCCCCAGATAAGTAGCAGAGGAATCTCGGAGGCTTGAAATATTTCGTCCCTTTGGCGTATCGCGTGCCAAGGATAATACGGCAGCCGTCGAAAATCCAAAGCCATCCAAATGAAAAATTCAAACAACTCTCCCCGAAACGTTCCAGACAACGAACCACCACCACCACCACTACTATAATATGTACCTACCAGTCTGAGGTAACGGCTCTTTGCGCGGAGCAAAGAAAACACCCCAAAGCACGAGAAAAGAATCACATTTGAAAAAAATATGGCCCTCCGCTGTACCTTTCCCTCGGTGCTAATCCAACGCGACGGTGCATACCTATATACACGGGGACGTCTCAACTCTGGCGCACAAAAGCCGACTTTTCTTCGGAGGGATACCCTGCTTTCTTTCTTCCCCCGGACGCGTATACAATTTTTTTTCTTTTTTCTTATACCCTCAAGCCTTTCCCTTTTCATCGCGGTCAATCATCTTCGCGGCTACGCGTGTATACATGCGATGCACCGAGACTGGCTGTGTACACCGCCCGCAGGGGCTGGGGGGGGGGGGCGATCGCCGGGCTTTCCTTCCTCCCTTTTTTTAAAGCACCACGGGCCGGCGAGGTCGTCTTTTTTTAATGCGCGACGAGCAGCTGCCCGCCTCTGGATAAATTACAAGCCGAGAGACGGGAAAGAAAAAGCAGGGCGGGTTGATGCACGTGCAGGGGGGGTGTGAGGGAAAAAAAAAACGTTTGCGCGCAAGTATTTATAGAAGGTGACGGGCCGCCCGCTGTCGCTTTTTTGCCGCACTATGCCCCCCACCCCCGTTTTTTTTTTGCCTTGGTTCGTCTTTCGCTTCGGTGGTCCACTCTCTTTTGCCCGCAAAGGCAGTTTGATTTATTTTGGAGACCCCCAAGTGTACCTGTATACACTACAACTATGCTGTGCTCCTGCTACGGTGTTTTTCGTCCATTCTCTTTTTTTTAATAAGAAAACGCAGACGAAGGAACTGTATAAGTAAATTTAAAAAAAAAAAACCAATCAATACTTATTTTTTTGTTGTTAAAAATCGAGATATCACATTTGTTAAAATAAAACATCCTCTACTTTCGCAGTTGACTCTTCGATCGTCGTCTAATAGCTTTTAGATGAATTTTCCAATATGAACGACTTCATGATAATTCCCTCGTTCTATATGCAATAAACTTCAAGTTTTTATGATAATATCCTTACCACTGCAGTCCGGGGGGTGCAGTGAAACTGCGGTTGAATCGAAAACGCGTCTGTACAATGTGGGGGCAGTACCTGTACGCGTATACGTGACAAGATGAAGCTGTGGAGCTCTTTTTTGTACTTACTTGAATTTGGATCCTATTAGCTATGGGTCGTTTATTCTCAACAATAAAGGTTATTTTCATCGTCCTGCTTATATTGTGTAGGTGTTTAAATTAATTCTATATTCCTTGTTTGACTTTTGACGTGTTGTGTGAGATCAATTTTGATGTTTGACCTGATGACGTATATTGTCAAAGTAATTTAACTTTTAGTACTCACAATGCAACATATTTTTGAGGGACGCGAGATGTTTGATGTAAACCTTGCAATATTGTGTGGAACAATGTTAATATTCATTTACTCGAAACATCGTTATAACTTTGTGAATAAAAACTTTATTGTTCAAATCAATGATACTGTTTAATCTACTGAAAAAAAACCATGCAAATAAAAATGAAAATTCTAGTCTTGGCAGATAATAATTACCGATTGATAGAAAAAATAATTCACAGCCAAAAAACATGTTACTATTATTGACTGTTATTTATTGATCGCTTTTCATTTCTTGCAAATTTTAATTGATACGTGTATCATTGGAGATATTCAATTACACAAACAAAACGACCTCATTTTCAACACACCTCATAGCAAAACTTCATTTCCGACGCGATGCAGAGAGGAAGCACGAAAAAAAAAACAGAAAGAAAGAAAGAAAGAAAAAAAAAACAATTGACCTCAAAAGCTCGCGAATTTTAACATCCACACCGGTTCATTGTAAGAAAGGGCAAACTATGTACAGCGTCACGCTCTTCTTATTAAGCTGACAAATGCTCGACAGAACAAACAAAAGTTCCTCGGGAAAATTAAACACACACTGGCGGGACGATAAAAACTTGGTAAATTATTATTCCCTCAAGCGCAGGAAAGAAAAGCTCATTCAGGCGAATCCACCGTATATATACAGGCGCGATTTCTCTAAAGAGGCCCTTAAAAACCGGGGCCATAAATTTTGCCTACACAACAGGAGCAGCTCTCGAGGGTGGGAGCAATTTATCGAACTTGAAAGGGTAAAAACAAAAAAAAAATCCAACACGAGGAGAGGGCGCTGTGTTGGGCAAATGGAATCGCTTCGTAGTAATCACGCTTGTTTGTTCGCGTTAGAAGAAAATAAGTAAGAGAGAGAGAGAGAGAGAGAGAAAAAAGCTCGGCTTGCAGTGGAAGAGCCAGAGGAAAAATGGTACACGTACGACACCTACACCCGACAAAAAGGACACTCTCGAGTGAACAAAAAAAAAAGAGGGAGAGAGCGGAAAATCGATAATTTGCGGAGGCATGCACTCGCACTGGATTTTTCATTGTAGGAAGAGAGATGGGAGGGTTGACTCGTTGACGAGAAGTATTTCACGAGGCGCCTCTTTCGCGTGTACGTCTTTTTATTTTTTCGCTAAAACACGCGACGTCCTGCTTTTCTCTCAGTTTGTATGCTCGTTTCCTCTGCGTAAAACGCGAGGGATGTATTATTTTACGAGTAGCACGTAAAGCGCCCGCAGTGAGCTTTCAGGTATAATTTTACCATGATGGCGTACACGAGTTTTTTTAAATGCTTGCCCAAAACTAGGCTACATCTTTTTGTTGCCCGGCAAGTGTAATGATCTTACGAAAACAGACATATGTACACGGAGCACTTGATTAGCTAATACCGATTGCGGGAAATGCGTTCACTAGAAATGTACAGCAGTTAATAATAGAGATGTGTGCATTACCTGAATTTCTTTTCAGCATTTGAAAAGATTAGAGGTATATTACATCAATGAATTCTCGCATTCTTTTTGCAGTCACTCAAGTATCTGCACTGTGGTTTCAAACTATAAAATTATTACAACTATTTTGATTGGTACTTTTCAAAACGAGTAGCTACATATACAGCTGGAAACAATAAACATAAACGTTGTATGCAAAATAACACAAAACGAAAAATTTTGCATGCATTTAGATTGCATCAACCTGAAGTAAATTCTATAAAAAAAAAAAAAAATAACTATTTTTCTTGTAGGGGACTTTCTGGTTTGAATAGGACTTATTAAATTACAGCATGGGAATACAAAGAAACCTAACCATATCAAGCAAGGGTTTCAATCAAAGTGGAAAATTCAAAGTTCATCCACTACTGCGAAAATCTTAACAATAATCTTCAATTACCCTTACATAACATACGTTTTTCGATGTATTATTCATTAATTTCCTATTCAATTAGTAACGGTAAAACTGTGTACAAACACAAACGTCTGTTTAACATGTTGCATCACAATAATAGTTTTACAATACTTTCGTAGAAAAATGCACCATTTTACTTGCCAAGTGATAAGTTGCTTATTAAATCTGCATATTGTACCAATTTAAAATAGTTATCTTACCTTCCTGCGATTCCATTTGGTTGAATTTCTTGTAAAAAGATTCCCAATTCACCACGATCTTCGTTTTGCAATCCAACAACACTGAATCCAAGACTTGTCCCTTCTGATTTGAAAAGCTAAAACCATAATAATCATACAGAAATGCAGCAAAAGTTGGTTATTTTTTAGAATAACGATAATTTATAAAATAAGTTATACTTGAATCGTAAAAATTTGTCGGCCTTTGGCTGCAGTTTCTATAACTTTTTGGAATTCTATAGCATACGTTGGAGTCATTATTGGAGGCATCCCAATCACTTCTGAAGTTAAACTAGGACTTGTAACCTGAAAAGAAAAAATATTTACCAGCTATTTTTTAACTTTCTTAAAAAATAAATTATGATTCAACTACCTGTGCACTAGTATCTTCACTACTGCTATGCAGCATTTGTGCCATTGAAACTCTTTGATCATCAACATCACTCTCTTGATATGGATTAGTATAAATTCCTTGTCCAACAGGCTGAACAGGTGTATTGGGAACAGATAGTTCTAGTTGTCCTCCAAGACTGATATCAAAGTCACCAGGTAAAATAGATGGATGTTGGGCAAGCTGATTGTTCAGCTCTGCCAGGGAATCTTGTATTGTAACAATACTACGGAATACAGGATCTTCGAGCAGGGAGATCAATGACTGCAAATCCTGGCTTGTGTGTAGCTGCAACTTTGGGTCATCGCAGTCCTCCACTCGCTCATGCACATGCTCCAGCAAGTGCAGAGCTGTTGAGATATCTGCAGATTGAAAATTACTTGATATAGGGAAAAAGCAAACAAATGTTGGGTCTATCTTAATGTAGATTTTCAATAAACTGTACTGCCAGTGAATAAAACTTAATGTTATGTCAATCAATTTTATTATTATGGTCATTAACACTTTTGGAGAATGATTTCTACCTAGAATAGTATATTACAATCATGAGCTGATTTTCTACTGACAACATAATTATTTCTATAAACTAGTAAGCTATGAAATAAGATTTTGAACTTTGACAAGTACTTAATGCCAAGTTTCTCAAAAAATAAACAAAGTCTTACCTGTGTTCAACGTCATTTTGACTGCTTCACACTAATCCCTTAGAAATAACTCTTCCCAGGTGATCCTGCAATCAAACAAACTATGTAAGGTGCCTGTTCACCATCCAAATAACACCCTCGAGTTCTTCCATCACTTTTAACATTTACAAAACACTGAATCTCATGCAACAACAAAGTATACCTGGACTCAACAAGGGCGTTTGTTTTTTAGAGACTCTGTTTCAATGAAACCCAATACATTAGCCCATACAAGATTAGAAAAATAAGTAGTTTGACGTGCTGACGTTACACACGTATGCAAACAAAGAGAAAACAACGCTTAGACGAGTTTAGAAAGCCCATTGTACAGTGTGGTTAAGCCAACTTGTTTACGAATGGGGAAGTGAGTAATAATAAAATAGGTCGACTCGAGGATTAAGTAGGGAGGTATAGGGGTGTGGAGCATGCCTCGAGAAAATCAATAAAAACAATTACTCGAAATCAATCGTGAGGGCAGCCACATTCGGAGTTGCAGCGTCTTCTCTTTGGAGTTTTTTTTCTCCTTGCACTTCGTTTTTCACCTTTTTGGAGCACTGGACGACGCACACCCAAACCAACCGCTGCACTTCCTAATGGTCACACCAATGTTGGTAAACTCTCTTTGTGTATGCCGTTAGCTTCCCCCGTAGAAGGACGATCTTTATGTATCCTGGAGTTACACTTTCGACGACTAATCACCAATTATTAAGCTGCAATGGTCGATTTCAAAGTTCTAGCACTTCCAGCCTTCAACCCAACGTTCACTGTTCACTGAACGTCGTTCAGGCTACAGCCTTCCAAAGCTGTACACTGTATTGTAATTTAGTATATACATGTACATCAGCAGCAGAGTAGTACTAGTAGTAGGAATACGGATTATACGGAAGTATGCATGCACCAGATGCACCTGCAGAGTGCAGCCCCTGCAGGTGGCTTGTAGGAACACAGGTACACTATACACACTCTCCACCCTCTACTCTCTTACGATCTACATTAAATTTGCACTCTGCCAGGACTGCCAGGTATAAAATCCTATACCTACGTACCTATATTATATTCTTTAGGTGCTATGTGTATCATATACCAACCTCGGTATAGCAAAGTATGTTTTAGAAGATCAAACTGCAGCGTTGCAATGAATAATATTATGAATCATTGAGGATAGAATAGTCATATATAAAAATAAATACTTGAAATGTAAATACTAATACGCCGTACAGTATTAACTTTAAGTGAAAATTTATATATAGGAGGTGGACCTTCAGGTAAAAAACAGACAGTAAACTTGCCGCAATTGGCACATACGATGTTAACTTTTTATTTTATACCTACAAAATTAATTGCGGCTGGTTTATAATTGATTACATGGCTCTACTGTGAGTTGTAATAATTTTTGGATCAGCGCCATCTAGCGTTGCGGATTTTTGAACTAAAAAGTGGCCCTAAACTTTTGACTCACAGCATTAGCGCTAAGAGCCATTTAGCCTAGTATAAACCAGCCGCAACTCATTTTGTAGCTATAAAATCAAAAAATAACAGTATATGTGTTTTTGGCGGCAAGTTAACAATCTATTTTTACTCGAAAATTTATCTTCAAAAGTATATATACATAGGAGGTCGATTTTTTGGTAAAAAATAGATTGTTAACTTGCCGCCAAAAACACATATATTGTTATTTTTTTATTTTATAGCTACAAAAAAGTTGCGGCTGGTTTATACTAGGCTAAATGGCTCTTAGCGCTAATGCTGTGAGTCAAAAGTTTAGGGCCACTTTTTAGTTAAAAAATTCGCAACGCTAGATGGCGCTGATCCAAATAATTATAACTACAGAGCCATGCAATCAATTATAAACCAGCCGCAACTAATTTGATAGATAGACATTAAAAAGATTACATTTTCTGTGCCATTTGCGGCAAGTTTACTATCTATCTCTTACCCGAAAATCTACCTTCAATAGAAATTGGGATCATTAAAATACTTAATGCTTATTGTTGGCCAAGATAAACTTACTTAATAATTGCTCGTAGCAGCAGAGAAGAAATCTGGTTTATCTCTTACTAGAGTACAAAATCGGTTCTCACCAGCGTTGCTACCGTATAACACTAGAGAATTGATAGAGGTATGGTGTTTCGAATATTTTATCATGAAAATATTTATCTGGAGATGCTCAAGAGGCAGGTGTATCCATCAGTCTTGTTACAGACTAAGTGAGAAGACTCCGAGTATACTTGCATACAAGTTAAAAGTATTCAAATATGATTAAACTCATCATCTCTAATACTTGAAAACTTAATTATTACAGATTTTAGTCAAACCCGGTTGTGTTAAAATAATTGTACAAAAAGTCACAAAGGTTACAATATTTTCTAAGCCGGGTAAAATTGATTTTAGTAAGTAAATTTTGTAAAACAATATGCCACGCTTAATATATTATGTTTCAAAAAATTACAATTTTTTTCATCCAGGTGGTAAGATCCAATTGTAGTTGCAAACAGTAATAATTACGTTATTGAGTCTGATACTCATTGTGCATCAAAATTTGGAATATTCCTAAGCAATAGGTCTTGTAACATCGATTTTCTTTCGTAGCTGTGATTTTAATGCACACAACATTATGTCAATAAATGCAATAGAAAGATTATTTTATATTTTTATAAATAAAAATACTTATAGNCTGTTATCTTTTGTAATTAGTAATTATAGTAATCACTACTAATTAGTGCTATAGAGTCGATTTTTTAAGCCATATAAGTGGAATGTTTGTGATTTTGGAGGTCAATTTTTAGGTAAAAGATAATATGTAAATTTGCCGCAAACAGCACGAACAACGTCAATTTTTTATTTTCTATTTATCAAATTAGTTGCGGCTGGTTTACAATCGATTACATGGCTCTACTGTAAATGGTTGTAATGATTTGGATCAGCGCCATCTAGCGTTGCGGATTTTTGAACTAAAAAGTGGCTCTAAACTTTTGACCGACAGCATTTGCGTTTAGAGCCATTTAGTCAATTATAAACCAGCCGTAACTCATACTGTACCTATAAAATCAAAAAATAATAGTACATGTGTTTTTGTCGGCAAGTTAACAATACATTTTCTACCAAAAAATCGACTTTCCATGTATTAATACTTTTGAAGATGAATTTTCGAGTAAAAGATAAATTGTTTACTTGCCGCCAAAAACACATGTATTGTTATTTTTCAATTTTATAGCTACAAAATTAGTTGCGGCTGGTTTATAATTGGCTAAATGGCTCTTAGCGCTAATGCTGTGAGTCAAAAGTTTAGGGCCACTTTTTAGTTAAAAAATTCGCAACGCTAGATGGCGCTGATCCAAAAATTATTACAACTTACAGTAGAGCCATGTAATCAATTATAAACCAGCCGCAATTAATTTTGTAGGTATAAAATAAAAAGTTAACATCGTATGTGCCAATTGCGGCAAGTTTACTGTCTGTTTTTTACCTGAAGGTCCACCTCCTATATATAAATTTTCACTTAAAGTTAATACTGTACGGCGTATTAGTATTTACATTTCAAGTATTTATTTTTATATATGACTATTCTATCCTCAATGATTCATAATATTATTCATTGCAACGCTGCAGTTTGATCTTCTAAAACATACTTTGCTATGCAATATCAATAATATTTTTACAAAAACACATACTTCGCATGTATAAACTGAAATAAAATGATCATCTATAGTTTGAAGATTTCACACCAATTTTGAAAGATTTTCGATGTAAAAAAAAACATTAGTTATGGAAGACGAGACAAAAAAATCTATTCACGAAGCAGTTTGTTCTGGGGAAGTTGTACAAGTTCATATAATATTACGAGAGTAATTTTTTGTTTTTTTTTCTTATAAACTTTTTATTGACTTTGCCCCTTTTTTATTTTAATTCTGTCATCTAACTCTCAGGGATCCGTCTTCCGTGAATGATCATAATCAAAACTTTGCAAACCCGCTACAATTGGGCTATGTTCACGTTGATACAGCTATTCCTACACCAGCTGACGACAGATTGCCAATATTACAGCTGCTCATCGATTATGGAGCAGATGTGAATAAGCGAGGAATAGGGGCTTGGTATGGATCGCCACTACACTTGGCAGTTAGAAAAAACCAGGTAAAATTTTTTTTAATAAATAAGTTGGGCAATACAAATTTTTTACATTCTATTTTTTAGATTAATGGGGTGAAGGTTCTTCTTAAACACAAAGCTGATCCAAATCTTTTAGATGTAGAACATCATACTGCTTTGGGCAACGCAGTGTTGTGTGGTCGAGATTCCGAGTTTATAAAGCTACTCCTGGATTACAATGCCAATCCCAACATTGTAATTTATGGGTATTATACACCATTACATACAATCATTTTCGAAACCAAATGAAATCAGGCACAGCTCCTCCTGACTTATGGTAGGACGTCAGAATTTTCATTTCATAAATTAACATTCTCCAATTCACATTATATTGATTTATATGTGTAATAGTGCAAAGTGTGCTGTCGTTTACAAATCTTTGTTCCAATCATGTAAGTCAGGTCAGCAGGAGCTCATTGACTTTGTACTGAGGCACGCAAGCGAAATGGATTCTCATAGGCACTTTTCGTTTAAAGCTTTGATATCTTACACGATGACCGAGCCGCATCATTTTAAAAAAGGAATATGCACTATCCTGAAGTTACTGCACAAGCAGGGTATTAACATTAATGATGATTCGGGTGACTCGGACCTGCATGTAGCTGTGTGCCAAAAAGATGAAACAAAGATTAATAATCTATTAGAAAAAGGAGAATATGTCAATGTACAAAATTTTTTTGGAGACACACCCTTACATTTATGATTTTGTACTCTAGTAAGAGATAAACCAGATTTCTTCTCTGCTGCTACGAGCAATTAATAAGTTTAACTTGGCCAACAATAAGCATTAAGTATTTTAATGATCTAAATTTCTTTTGAAGGTAAAAGATAAATAGTAAACTTGCCGCAAGTAGCACAGAAAATGTTAAATTGTCAATGTCTATCTATCAAATTAGTTGCGGCTGGTTTATAATTGATTGCATGGCTCTGTAGTTATAATTGTTTGGATCAGCGCCATCTAGCGTTGCGAATTTTTTAACTAAAAAGTGGCCCTAAACTTTTGACTCACAGCATTAGCGCTTAGAGCCATTTAGCCTAGTATAAACCAGCCGCAACTTATCTTGTAGCTACAAAATCAAAAAATAACAATACATGTGTTTTTGGCGGCAAGTTAACAATACATTTTTCACCAAAAAATCGACCTCCTATGTATTTATACTTTTGAAGATAAATTTTCGAGTAAAAATAGATTGTTAACTTGCCGCCAAAAACACATGTATTGTTATTTTTCAATTTTATAGCTACAAAATGAGTTGCGGCTGGTTTATACTAGGCTAAATGGCTCTAAGCGCTAATGCTGTGAGTCAAAAGTTTAGGGCCACTTTTTAGTTAAAAAATTCGCAACGCTAGATGGCGCTGATCCAAACAATTATAACTACAGAGCCATGCAATCAATTATAAACCAGCCGCAACTAATTTGATAGATAGACATTGCTTAAACTTAGCCTTAATTAAATTACAGCATCTTTATGATTAATGCAATACAATTGTTGTGGAATTATCGATTTCTGAGATTGTTGTAAGTACTGGGAGTCGTGATATAAATTGTAGTGGCTTTTTTGGCGAGTCGAGTGTCTGGCGTGTGATCCTTGATCGCCGCATTCAGAAGTTGACGCTTGCATCGCCCAACCAAGCGACGTTACAACGACCTATATAGATAAGTAACTTAACTGCTGGCAGTGCTGGCAGCAGCCTCTGAATTTATCATTCTGGTAAAGAAGGCACGGTGTAACATATACGTGAATTTATGTGTAGTAATTATAGTAATCACTACTAAGTAATGCTATATATCGCCGATTTTATTAAACCATATAAGTACAATATCTATGCTTTTAGAGGTCAATTTGTGGATAAAATATAAATTGTAAACTTGCCGCAATCGGCACAAACAATGTTAACTTTTTATTTTATACGTACAAGATTAATTGCGGCTGGTTTATAATTGATAACATGGCTCTACTGTAAGTTTTGTAATAATTTTTGGATCAGCGCCATCTAGCGTTGCGAATTTCTGAACTAAAAAGTGGCCCTAGAATTCTGAAGGAGAGCTTTAGCCAGTAGAGCCATGTAATCAATTATAAACCAGCCGCAATTAATTTTGTAGGTATAAAATAAAAAGTTAACATCGTATGTGCCAATTGCGGCAAGTTTACTGTCTGTTTTTTACCTGAAGGTCCACCTCCTATATATAAATTTTCACTTAAAGTTAATACTGTACGGCGTATTAGTATTTACATTTCAAGTATTTATTTTTATATATGACTATTCTATCCTCAATGATTCATAATATTATTCATTGCAACGCTGCAGTTTGATCTTCTAAAACATACTTTGCTATACCGAGGTTGGTATATGATACACATAGCACCTAAAGAATATAATATAGGTACGTAGGTATAGGATTTTATACCTGGCAGTCCTGGCAGAGTGCAAATTTAATGTAGATCGTAAGAGAGTAGAGGGTGGAGAGTGTGTATAGTGTACCTGTGTTCCTACAAGCCACCTGCAGGGGCTGCACTCTGCAGGTGCATCTGGTGCATGCATACTTCCGTATAATCCGTATTCCTACTACTAGTACTACTCTGCTGCTGATGTACATGTATATACTAAATTACAATACAGTGTACAGCTTTGGAAGGCTGTAGCCTGAACGACGTTCAGTGAACAGTGAACGTTGGGTTGAAGGCTGGAAGTGCTAGAACTTTGAAATCGACCATTGCAGCTTAATAATTGGTGATTAGTCGTCGAAAGTGTAACTCCAGGATACATAAAGATCGTCCTTCTACGGGGGAAGCTAACGGCATACACAAAGAGAGTTTACCAACATTGGTGTGACCATTAGGAAGTGCAGCGGTTGGTTTGGGTGTGCGTCGTCCAGTGCTCCAAAAAGGTGAAAAACGAAGTGCAAGGAGAAAAAAAACTCCAAAGAGAAGACGCTGCAACTCCGAATNGAAAGAAAATCGATGTTACAAGACCTATTGCTTAGGAACATTCCAAATTTTGATGCACAATGAGTATCAGACTCAATGATGTAGTTATTACTGTTTGCAACTACAATTGGATTACCACCTGAATGAAAAAAATTGTAATGATTTCTGTGGCGCCTAATATTGATGTCTTCTACTATCCAATAATTAAATATATTTGTATATAGCTCAGTGCCACAGAAATCGAAATCATCCCATAGTCCTCAATAATATGAACCAAATAATGAAATTATAATATTTTTATCAGGAGCGGATTTGCAAGCCCACAACTTTCTCGACCAAACACCGTTTTACTTAGCTGCAGCGCATATACTAGACATAGATTTACTAACTTTACTGCTAATGGAAATCACAGGAATCCATGGGATGATGCCACTCGACCCTTGTGAAACTGAAGTATTCTCTATTTTAGACATACCCTATAATAATGAGCCAAAGCTGCATGAACTTATTGTAGCCGTTTATTTATGTAACGAGCAATTCGTCGATCGCTTGCTTGACATGAATTACATTTACTTGGTCAGCAATAATTGTTGTAAAAGTGTTCAAAGAGCGCCGGAAATAGCGTTTGTCAAAGGCCTGTACAATATTATTAGAATGATGTTGGAGGCTGGCTTACAATCCAATCAGTAAGATTGTTAATCGATAATTTCACATGTTTATTACGTTTTTAGTAATCAAACAATATTTTTATTAACAGGCACTTACATGTAAGGGATTTTAATCAAACACGATACTACGTGAATCATTTAAGCGTAATATGCTTATTCTGGGAGTTTGGAGATACTTTAATGATGAATAGCTTATTTCAAAGTACCTTCCACGATGAGACCAAATCCTTTTTGTTCATACAGCTTTTGTTACTTTTTTATTACGCCATTGGTTTACATTCAAATAATTCGAACGCAGGATTTCTTAGAAAAAAAAATCTTTTTGAATCACACCCGCTTGCCTCAAAGATGTTTTCCATTTGCAGTGTCGATCTGAATGAACTGAAAAAAGATAAACTAGGCAATGACAAATCCATCTTTGATATCATTACAATGCCATTCAAATCGTTTGTTGCATTATTGAGTAATGAACAGTACCTTAAAGCTTGCACTGATTTACGTCGGTCACTTGAAGATAACAGAATTCTATTATACTACAATTATGCAACTTAATCTGCCTTGATCTGGCTATCGAAAAGAGGCAGTTGTTGGACATTGCAAGAAATTTTCTAAGCAACGTGTTTGAAGGTGTTTTAACGCCAATGAGCTTAAAAAGTTTGCCGGATGAAGTTATTTTTCATATTATCTCTTTTTATAACGTAAGAGAGTTAAAAAAGCTTACAGAAACTAAAACCTAGACATTTAAATTCTACAATAGTAATATCATTTCCAAAAACAATGTACGGTAAATTATTAAATCATACCTTGACCATACGAGCGTATTTTTTTTTGTTTTACTTACCTGTTTTTCACCTACATGTAAATATATTGTTAATTAAATACATGTGTACACATACATACATACATTTTTATCTAGTCAAAATGAGACTAAGGTACTGTAAGAACACGGTATATAAGAATGTGGCTATATTTATTATTAATAATTTTATTCAACGGAAAAACTAGCGAAGTTACGTTGCAATATAATCAGATAAATCAATACAATAGCTTGGAAAATTTGTCCTCTACTTGAAAGTTGCGTTTTTTGAGGGCTTATTTTTCACGTGACACATGAAGAATCGAGTACCTATTAAGTAGTAGTGTCGAAATTTTTCGTGATGAGCAAAAAGTTTTCAGAAATCCTGAGCGCGGATTTAATACCAATAAAAAAATTTTTTGAAAAAGATAATAAAATGTCAAATTCTCTTTTAAGACTGTAACGGAAAGTTGGATGAACTTGAGACAGTCAAAGTTAATGGTTAATAAGCTTGTTTATGACATTATGACAATACGAATAGATAGATATAAGTTATCATGGTGTTTCCGAGAAATTAAAAAAAAAGCTCGAATATTTTTAATTGGTATGAAAAAATTCACTTTGTTTTCTATCGAAAAAAAGAAAATAAGAATTGGATACTATAAAAATCATCTGAATAAAAATTTTAAAATACATACATACTATTTATCGCAAACAACGATTTCTGTATAATTTTGGTAAATCATTTTTATAATTACCTTATCTGATCTAATAAAATATTTTATAAATCATATTATTCAACCCGTTCGATATTAATTACCATTGATTTAAAAAAATACGGACAAACAAATAGTACATGATAGTAAAGAACGTAAAAAGTACGAAACAAAAATTTTTATAGCAAATAGCAAAACAATTTAATCATCAAAGTTTGTTTAGGAAGATTGGAAAAAAGACCATTATCTAATACACATTGGACTGTGAGAAAAAAAAAAAAAAACATTTTCAATGGATCCACGGGAATAATGTTATACTTTTGTTGATACTGTATAAAAAGACCATTAGACGAGTTTAAGCGTACAACCAAATCTACGAAAAATTTGATGATTTGACGATGAGAAAAAAAATTAATAATCTTCCACTCATTGTGCACATAATTCTTTTAGCCCAAGCAACCAACTTTTCAAATTAATTCAATTGATGGCTCATCTTTTGAGTACGCAACGAACAGGAACTCCCCCCCCCCATTGTTAAAATTCAGCTCAAAACAATTAAATCCCAAAAATCAATGAACGCAATAATTTCGTTTCAACACCGGCGCGCACCACCTGCCCCTTCCCCATGACCGGTATGACCCTCATTTCTCATTCTCGCCTCGGCCAATCATTCAATTACCATACACCCGTATACGGGCATATATCGACCATCCATACTCCCTCTGTAACGGCACGCTCAAAAAAAAAAGAGCTAACGAAAATGAAAAAAAAAAAAAAAAAAAAAAAGACTCGCTCCCCCACAATCAACACCACAGCGCCTGACACTTTGACACATTATACAGGTGTTTTTCAGTGACTCGGCACGTACCTACATATACCCATGTGCCATTTGTTGTACATGTATGCATGTACCTAATACCTATACATGCCGAGCACTGCAGCACACAGGTGTAACGCTGAAATCTCTAATCCGTGGTTCCGCGCCGCGAGTCCTCCTGTCCCCCCTTCATACATAAGGACACACCACGCGTGGACTGATGTAGTAAAAAAAAAACAAAAAACAAAAAAAAAAACATCTGCATACACGCTACACACAAGGGTCCGGCTCAATACATGCATGCATCATCACGGTATAGCCACATATATGTAGTGCGGTGTCCCATTGAAGCGCGTATAGGTCAGTCCCGGCGTTTTCCCGGATGTAGGTACGCTGGCGCGGAAACCGAGCACAATGAGACCGACTTCCGGACGACCCCCCTGTGCACACTTGTGTATACGCGGGTCCTCGCACGAAAAAAAAAAAGGGGGAGGGCGAAGAAAAAACAACAACATTAACGCGCTCGCGTCGACAGGATCAAGCAAGGCCGGAATAACGCGCGCTTTACCGGACCCCACCTTTACGGAACAATATATATATATACAACATATATGGTCTCTGCCTCTAAATGTATAATGATAATTACAGCATACCCCCCTGCAAGCTCTCTCTCATCGCGCGCGCAACACACATCGTGTGGGTGTTTACTTCAGGATAGGCGAGAGATTTCGGAGCGCACCTCAGTCAGATTACGGGTGCCGGTCACGTTGGGCGGGCAGGGCCTCCTACAGTTGCCTCTTGTACACTGTTGACGCAATGTGGAACGATACGCGCGAGTCGCGCACGCGAGGCTCGACCGAGTCGTGACGGGTGTTTTTCGATTTTTCGCTCGGTTTTTGATTATTTTCAGCTATTCGAGACAAAGGAAGAAGGATATCGGCTTTTTTCTTTCGTTCGCCCGACCCCCGGCATTCATGAGAGAACGCGCAGTGGTGCCTGTCCTAACGAGCTTGCGTCTGCGATCGGCAGGAGATCGTTATATAAGTAAGCTCCTTTTTTTTTTTTTTTTTTTTTTTTAATTGCTTTTTGTGGAAAATTGGCGAGGTTTTATCTGGGGTCCTTGGGTGGACCATTATCGAGTTGGTTGATTTTGATCGACTACCGATTTCGTATCTAAATTTCTTTGTTCCTTAACGTATTTATTTTTAAAAGATTTTTTGCATTTGCTCTTTTTTCATGCCATGCGTAGTTTCGTAACGCAAGTCGAACAGTTAAAAGCTCAGCGTGAGAAAAAACGCGTGAGTTTGGAGTTGCAGGTTGCATTGTAGTGTTAAGTAGTGCGTGCTTTTGCATTTAATTTCGAAGCCTTTGAAACATAATGTACACTGTAGGTAGTTGCGGTCAATCGAGCCTTTATTGTCAAAAGTCCCATTTTCCTTTGCGCATTTGCATGCCCCACTTAGATCGCGAGTTTTGCTGTGTGCGTGAATCACTTGGTTGATTTGTGCTGGGTTTTTTTTTTTTTTTTTTTTTTTCTCGTAATTAGATAAGTTCAGAGATTTTTTCAAATTTATTGCCTGTAGTTCAAATAACTTTTAAATTAGTTTAATTATTTATCGATTCGATGTACTAAAGTATGAAAATTAAGAAAGTGTCGTTATAATTTTCAGCATCACCGTAATAAAATTATAGTCTGAATGAAATATGAATCAAGTGTATACTTTAGTACGTCATGCTATCAATTGAACATAGGTATACTTCATTATATATTAGAAATTAATTAAATTTATCTTGGATGAATGATTTTATAATCGTTATAAAAGAAAGATTCAAATACAAATAATCGAATCAAACGAAAATTTGTGGAAAAAATTAACTCGAAGTAACCGTATAAAAAAAAAACTGAAGGGTTGCGCGAGTTATTTTTTCGTTGTCTTTTTCTATTTCTTACCATCTTTAAACGCTAAGTATTCATCTTAAATCATTCATTCAAGGTACACACTAATAATATATACAGTTGCTTATCTTAACGCTGAATTACTTCTCTTTACACTAACCTAGCAGCAACTAAATACAAATGGACCTATAATAACAATGAAAATCCTATACACAAGGATGGTACCCGTAAAACCTTCAAAACGTACCAGCATCGATTCCGCGAAAAAAAAAAAAAGTACAGCACGATAAAAACCAACTACTGCTCATCAAACCGAGACAAAGGCTTATTGCCACAATAAAATCCACCGAGTAGTTCATGTTGGTTTTTTTTTTTTTTTTTTTTTATTGACCATTATAAAGAAAAAAAAGCTTTCTCTAATAAAGACGCACTTTTTTTTTTTTTTTTTTTCAGCTCATGCTCATAGAGTCCCTTTGTGAATCGTAGAACAAAAAAAAAAGCCGAGACCATACGCTAACGACTCATCATCATCATCATAGCTTTCGCAACGCGCTATACATACGGGCGTATTATCGTTTCGATCGCGCGCTTAGGCCCACCGCGACCGTAATAGCACGCATATATAGGTACATATCTCCATCGCGAATCATCATCGGCATCCTTGCTCCCGATATGAAAAACCAACCGCGGCCCCGATCCTTCATATATGCGTATAAATAATATCGTCTGACACACGTGAAGGACTTTTACCCAACATCATCGCCATTACGTACATTGTATATGTAATAAGCGCAAGCTCGGGCGAGAGATTCCTGGCGAGCGCTCACCCCGAACCGTTTCTCCATACCCGCAGTCCACTGCCACCCGAGAGACAGATATGTATAAAAAAAAAAAAAAAAAAAGAGAGGGTACACCATCGTTATGCATATATAGGTATAGACGCCCGCAAAGGCACCAGAGCGTAGTTCCAACTTCCCAGAGAGAGAGAGCGCATTATTGGGGGATCTATTATCTTCGACAGTTATCGCGAGTGTAGGTGCCTGTGTAAAATAGGAAAAGGGAGAGAGAGATATATATATATATATTCGCGCGTGTGCCTTTCGATGTACTTTTTGTCCTCCGACGAGGGGGGGGGGAAGGGGGTTGCTAGCCATTTTTGTAGCAAATTGATCCTGAAATTTGCGCATCGGGATAAGATGATCAACACAAGACAAGTGCTACCATTTCGAATTCCTTTTAGTTTTTTTCCCATGATGTTATTTCAACTATAAAGCCCCCAAAAAACTCATCATTGCGCAACGTGTTTTGATCGATGTGTTTCCACATGAAATGATCGGTATGTGGTTAAAAATACATTTTTTTTTTTCTCTTCCACTATCCTACTGTTATCGGAAGCTGTGTATGTGGTTGGAAAACAAAAAATTAGGTCACTTGCCACCACCTGCAGCTTGATAAAAATTGTCATTGTTTGATCAAAGAGTACATGGTGTGCAGCGTTAATCTGTACGTACGTATAAGTAAGAGCAAGAGTTCATATTTGACATGGGCAACTGTGTAAATGCATGTTCATCGCATTCCCTGAAAGGTAAACATCCCGTTTTCCATTTCGAGTACCTCCACGTCGGGCTTGCACTCGTGAATAAAAAGGAGAGTGAATAAAATTTCCCCCCACAGAAAATGGCACTCCGATGATCTCACGCGATTTATCTGGACATTAATCTCCCCCCCCCCCCCACTACTTCTCGGGTTTAATAATTTTCACCCAACTGCATCGAGTCTCCGCGCGACTGTCACGCGTTTTGATTTTACCTGTTGTGTCCTATATACATGTATAGCACACGTGCATTGCCGTCCGAACTCCCCCTCGATTCATCGCGCGGTGACAGTACGCTTTTGAAATCGGCTCGGTGAACGTTGTTGGATACTCCCCCGAGAGTTGCGCGTTAAATAAAAAAAAAAAGGGGGAATTTTGTTCCGTGTGCGAGTCCACGAAGAAGAAAAAAAATGCCTTTGTGAAAAACACACATCGCTTTTTTTATTATTATTAATAATGGAAATCATCAGGAGTACGAGTGGGTACTTGTAACAAGAAGTGTTTCCTGTGTTTAGAAAGTGAGATTTTTTTTTTTTTTCGCGCGAGTTTGGTCTATACGAAATGGGACGAATTTTTTCGCTCGGTACGATGAAGTTTTCACAGTCGTGGTAAGCCAATACATTCGTTGGGCCTGGGGCATATATTTATATTTTTAGTTAAAAACGTGCAGTTCGAGACAATGCCGATTTCTTATTTATTTATTTTTTTTTTTTTCTTCTCTATACGAATAAAATTAATCGCAACACCAATTGCAGTCCCACTGCGAGTGACATGACTACTTGATGGTGCCGGTTATCAGACTTCAAAATGATAAGGATTCGTAATATGCTCAGTATGGTTCAAGCTATAACTGTTCTCACGGTGTTGAAGATGCTCGTCAACGGTGAGGCCCGCAAGTGTACAATTGAAGCAGTTTTTTTTTTTTTTTTTTTTTCTTACTTTTTCATGTACAAGCATTCGTCAATCCAAATTTTCTTTGCAGCGCAAACTACGTGTAATGGTGGAGCGGGTAGGCTCGCCTACGAAAGACTGCCGGATCAGCAATTGCAGGGCTTTGACGACGACGTGGTGAGTGATGACGATGATCCCCGATCCTATGTGATTTTTCATCGATATCTCGAATAACATTGCAAAAAAAACTCCAACGCATCAGATAAGGGACTCTGCCCCGCCGTTCCGGGTGCTGGAGAGATGCCAGGACCTCTGCCTGAAAGACCGCACGGCCACCAACAACCTGGTGCGCGCCTGCTCCAGCTTCGACTTCCAGCCGGGCAGCAGGATAGCCTCGTTCAGCGGGGCGGCCGAGTACGAGGAGAGCAGCTGTTACCTAAGCTCCGAGCAGGCCCAGCCCGAGGGTATCGGCAACCTCATGATGGTACCGAACAGCGTCCACTTTGCCGAGATCTGTTTGACGTGTGAGTTGATACATATATATATATATATATACATATAGATTTAAGTACTGCTTGGGCGCGCGTGTCTCCTTGTACGTCCGACTATACCGGACGTCCCTCCACTCGAGGAGCCGCGCAGTTTCATAATATACTTTTGCCGATAACCTTGGGAATAAGGATTTTTCATTGCCAATCGTATATTACGTGAGATAGAAAGAGGACAAAAAGCGATAGACCTACTCATTAAGTGCTGGTGTATGTGTACGGGAACGAGCCGATGTACAATTATACACCGTCCCAAGTTCAAATTCGAAATTACATAGGGAACGCGCCGATTGCTTTGTTATTTTCATCCTCTCCCCCGTGGATGCGCGAAAATCCGAAATTCCCATCGGCGAGCTAATCCGAGTTCCGCGTACATTGTTTCGCGCCGACATCGACCTTCCCCCCTTTTCGGTGCATCGTTAACTCATCTCTTTCGTAAGTTTACGGCGCGGACAACAATCGTTAAGTACCCAAGACTTTGCGCGGACGATATGATGAGGTAATCATGAGATGATGTGCACGTTCACGTAGTTCTGGATTCTTTATTGTACCTGATGCCTATACGTGTACGGGCGCACGCATTATTTTCGATTCAGCGCGATTCAGGAGAAGAGAGAGGGAGATCATGCTCGTTTGAATGACAATGGCGCGAACAAAGAAGGCATCGACAATGCGATTCAAAGGGCGAACGGAGCGTGCGGGTAGAAAGGAACAAAAATCACACACGCACGCGATCGTCACGCATCGGCGCTCCTGTGTCCACGCGTGTATGTACATGTACGTGTTCGTGATACTTTGTTGCAGCGTGCATTTTTCACGACGTATAATATATACATGTATTATTGTACGTATACACGCCGAACAGAGAGAGGGCAGTGAACAATTAGCGCGACAAAAGACGTTTGCGTTGTTTTTTGCGCCCAAGAGAGAGAGAGCCGATGATTTTTTCGCGTTGCGTCTTTGATCGCGTATAATATATTGACGCATTGTCGACCGATCCGATTGTTCCTTTGCCGATTGACGATTCTCGTAGCCAACCGAATAGAGAGGGAATGCCCGAACCGGCGCTACGTTTTTGAGAGGCACTCGCGGAAAAAGCTCAAACTCCCGGCTACGGATGTGAAGGAGGTCACCGCTGCCAACAGGACAGAGTGCGAGGATCGGTAAGGGATCGTTTTTGCTCTCCGTTGGAGTCGCGTGGCGGTATGATATTTACCATCCTTGCCCCGCTCAACAGGTGTCTGAACGAGTTCAGCTTCGTTTGCCGATCGGCCACCTACGACGTTTCCATGCGCAGTTGCTCGCTCAGCCGATTCACCCGGCGGACCCATCCGGAGCTACTCGAGGACAGCGCCAACTCGGAGTACCTGGAGAACACGTGTCTGAACGGTGAGGCTTTGCGAGTACCTATTCTCGAGATCGGCGGTGTCGAAAAATTAACAATGACCCCTATGGTTTCTCCAGCCGAGCACCGTTGCGACGGTCTGTCGGTGTTCATCAAGGAGGAGAACAAGCGTCTGCGGGGCCCCTTCGAGGTCGACATCTACACCAACTTGACCCTGGACGAGTGCCAGGCGCTCTGTCTGAGGGCGGAAAAGTACTTTTGCCGAAGCGTCGAGTTCGACGAGCAGACCCGTCAGTGCATCATCTCGGAGGAGGACTCGGTTTCCCAGAGGGACGACGTTGGCGTCAGCAACACCCCCAGCTACCACTTTTACGACCTCGTTTGTTTGGACAATCGTACGATTTTCGTTGATAATACCTATTTACTCGTAATCCTGGCACACAATGAGCTTTTGTTCCAATAAATCACTTTTTTTTTTTTTTCCTTTCATTCATAACTTTGACGACCTGATTTCATAATCGTAAAAATTCCACTTTTGGACGCACCGTCGCACTCATATTTACGCCACGTAATCACCTCCGCACATCTCCCGTGTGTCGCAATAAGTTATAATCACACCTATTCTCTATATATCAATCCACAATCTTCTTGCACGCGTACAGTTCACCGCACCAGGTGCACGTGTGCATACACGGTTTATCGGGAAAATAACAGTAGAAGGAGAAAATTGAAAACCGTAATAAGCCGGCTCGTCGAGGGAGAAACAAAAAATTACCACCTACATTATATTATACACGATGTAAAATATTGTACGAAAGAAAGAAAAGACCCACATGTACATAAAGCCGAGCCGTGCGATGTAACACAATGCTCGCTTACGAAACCCAGATCCATCCATAGCACGAGGCTCCGAGTATCCGGACAATAGCGTCTCGTCCCACCTGTACTCGGACGGTCGCCGGCCGGACACGGCTTTCCAGCGTTTTCGGAACTCACGGCTCAGCGGGGAATTCCACTCCGAGATAACCGGCAGGAGTCTCACCGAGTGCCTCGACGAGTGCCTCAGACAGACCAGCTTTCAATGCAGGAGCGCCGTTTACTCGGAGCACTATCGCACCTGTCGGCTCAGCAGGTTCAACCAGAAGGACGGCCATCGCATCATTTACGACGCCGATTACGACTACTACGAGAACCTCATGCGTGAGTCACAAGTTATTTCTTACTTTTTTTTTTTTTTTTTTTTTTTTACGATCGCTCGCCAAGCATATTTTACGCTTTACTGCTCATGAACCTTGACGATCGCGTGATTTAGTGAGGATGCGATGGATTATCCAACGGAAGGAGCGACATGCATATGTATTTGCACACACCGCGTAACAAACACACTTGTTTTATTGCAGATCAACACTTGGATCACGATGGACAAACGGCGTACCGACCGGATCCCTTGGGCCAGGATACGAAGCACGGGCGGCCGTTTCTGGGAAGACCTGGTGAGAACACGAATTCAACGTGTCCCATTTTTTATTTGACCAAGATTCAACAGTAATCTTTTCCATGTGAAATACAGGATATCCGGAAGACTACCCGAACGGAAACAAGCCCAACAACAAGTACCCAGCTTACCCGGCCAACCGCTATCCGACCCACTACCTACCGGGCGACGAGCGCTACCCTCCCCCGGGTCGTCCGTACTACCCGCCATCCGGAGATCGGTATCCCTTCGACGAGCGTTATCCAGTTGGCGATCGGTATCCCATTGTTAACCGATACCCGATGGACCGCTACCCGGCCGTGGACCGTTACCCCATGGGTGATCGTTATCCCATAGGTGATCGGTATCCGACCACCGAAGACACCTACCCAATGCGTCCACTCGGTGCTGGTCGTTATCCGAGTAGACCTCCTCCACCTCTGATTCCCGCTCGCCCGGGTCCATCCCGGTTCCCGGGGGTCATTCACCGATACCCAGTGGTTACCTCGCTCGACCGACCCACGGGGTATCCACCTGGTCCGAGGTACCCCCTCGGCTCAACGGGATTCCCACCTCCGCCCGATGAACGCTACCCACCTCCGGCGGTGCCCACGCCGCTGGATCGCTACCCTTTGCCCGACGACTCGTTGGATCGGTATCCCGGGAACATGGACGCAAACCGACTGCCCGATCGGTACCCCGGGGAAAGGTTCCCGGACAAGGACGCCTACCCGTTCGCCGACAGGTACACAAAAAAATTGTGTGTAACGAAAACGACGTGCTTCAATAAAACTTTACGCAATGAAACTCGCAGGTACAATGGCTACACGGGCAAGAACTACGTCGAGCGGCCCATGCCCGTGAGCAACAGCGGTCCTTACCCACCAGCTCGGCCCTCGACCGGCTACACGGGCGCCAACAACGCCCTCGGTCCAGGAGGCCCAGAGGGTCCGGTCGGAGTCCCGGTAGGCGGTCCGGGTGGCTACGACGAGGGTGGCATAGTCGGTGGGGGCTACATCGGCGAGGGTGGCGTCTACCACAGCAGGCCGTTCGGCAACGGCGGAGGACCGATCATCGGCAGGCCACCCCTGGTGTCGCGCTGCGACGAGCAAGAGAACTTCCGCCAGGTCAGCCAGGGCACGCGGGTGCGCAAGCCCTTCGTGCGCCGCTACACGACCGCCGCGTCGATCCAATCGTGTGGCCGCGAGTGCGCGGACGCCCGGGACTTTGTCTGCCGGTCGTTCAACTTTAGAGCCTACGCCGCGCTTTACGGCGCCGAGAGGGACAACTGCGAGCTCACCGACCGTGACTCCAGGGACATGGATCTCGGCAATCCGCTCTACTACGATACCTCGTCTGACTACGATTTTTACGAGAGGAACGACGGCAGGCAGAGCAACGACGAGTGCCTAGACGGTGACTTACTTTTTTTCACTCTCTTATAACATAAAACAAAGGGTCGTATATCGATCGCTCGGTTATGTCGCTTCAGTGAGCCAAGTTTGCAACGAAGACGGTATGGAGTTCACGTTGCGCACTCCGGAGGGCTTCATCGGGAGGATTTACACCTACGGGTACTACGACCGGTGCTTCTTCCGTGGAAACGGAGGGACGGTCAACGTTTTGAGAATCAGCGGGGCCCAAGGGTACCCCGAGTGCGGCACCCAACGAGTAATATTTCATTATTGTTCTACAGCTAAGAAGGTGAATCGTGTGTACTATAGTTAATCGGTAATCGTCTTTTGCTGCGTGTTTCAGTACGGCGATACCATGACGAACATAGTGGTGGTTCAGTTCTCGGATTACGTGCAAACTGGGCGGGACAAGCGCTTCAACCTGACCTGTTTGTTCCGGGGCCCCGACGAGGCCGTCGTCACTTCCGGCTACATAGGCGCGGGGTACGTATACCCTAGCGTTATCTTTACACTGTAAACCTATATATACATGCATAGGCAATATCAATTAATCGTGGTAATGTGATTGAACATCTCAGTAGATCCGGTGCACCTATACCCATCGAGTATTTACCAGCCGAGAATACGCTGAGCTCGCGAGTACGGCTCCTGATACTCTATCAGGGACGGCCAACGACCACGATTGCCGTGGGAGATCCGTTGACCTTCAGATTGGAGGCTCAGGATGGGTATGGCTTGGACTTTTTTTTTTTTTTTTTTTTTGCACCTATCACCTTTTGCACACGATTCGCTAACAGTGATGTAATGAACCTCGCAGCAGCTACAACTACGCAAACGACATCTTCGCGACGAACGTCATCGCGAGAGACCCCTACTCCGGAAGGAGCGTCCAGCTCATAGACAGATACGGGTGAGTATTATTTAGGAAAAAATAATAATAATAATAATAGTAATAAGTTACGACAGTCTGATCGTGGATTTTTGGATGTCTCTAGGTGTCCAGTGGACAATTACGTGTTCCCCGGACTGGACAGGCTGCGAGACGGCGACAGTCTCGAGGCCCGGTTCAACGCCTTCAAAATACCCGAGTCGAACTTCCTGGTGTTCGAGGCGACCGTGAGGACTTGCAGGGACGGTTGCCAGCCGGCCTTCTGCTCCTCAGGCACGGGCCGAAGCGAGCCCTCGTACGGGCGTAAGCGCAGGTCGATCGACGAAGCCGAGCTGAGGAACGTTACGTTACCCGGGATGGTCAACGCGACCGAGGAGATCGTCAACGGCACCAGTGCCAAGGTCAAGGACGCCACGGAGGCCCCGGAGGAGTTTGTCAGGGAGATGATCGAGGTAGTGGAAAGGTCGTTAAGACCCGCGCCCTGGAATTACAAAGGAGGATATATATATATATAAATTTTTTACAGGTTTACGACTCGAGGTACGACATGGCGAACGACAACCACGGCGAGGAGAACACCATATCCGAAAAGAGAATAGCCCCCGTGGTGATCGACACAGTCTGCATCACGCCGAGCGAGTACTACGCCCTAGTGACCGCCGTGGTCGTTCTAGCCGTGTTCTTGGCGTCAATCGCTCTCATGATTACGATCATTTACAGGTACATTATATACAAACACATACAACGAAGATGTAAGTACATCGTGAGAAATCATCATTCGGCTCGCTCTTTAAGGAAATACGTGTACTCGGTGGCAGTGAAGAATCGTCAAGCCGACAGACAATCGCACGACTGCGCCCGCAAATCGGCGGACAACTTCTCCTTCATGCGCTCGGGCATGCAGAACCCGAGTCACTCCTCGTGAGTACATACACGCTTACCGCGATCTCGAAATCACCGACGGAGAATCCGAGTATCTATCGAGTAAATAGCCAATTTGATTTTTACTTCTAGACCGATCGCCCGATCGCTCGGGGGTATGATGGGCCGAAGCTCCTCGACGGCTCTGGCCGGGGGCTCGGTGCACCGGGCGAGCTTCGACCCCAGCGAGCCCATCTACACCGATCCGTCGCTGTTTGAGGTTCCCCGACCCGCTACGGCTGAGCCGAACGATCTACACGACGAGAACTTTCGCATTATGTGAATCGTTATTATCTATTGGTATACGTACTTCGTTGTTGCATTTTGATTTGAAGAGTGACGAGGAAAGTATATAGTAAGTATTAGGAAAATATGCATACATGTAAGCGCGAAAAAAACCCAACAATAGTACATATTAATCTATCCATATATAATATATAACTGGGAAAAAAACACATTTTCCATTTTTAATTTTCACTTTAAGTGGACGGACGTCGCTTCCGTTTCGCAAAACTTTTCATCACACTTAAATCAACCCCAGAGCCCTCAGAGATAAGCTTTCACGTACTTAAAAACACGATGAAAAACCAACAAATAAAGTTACTTTAATGTTTATATGATACTTAACGTCGGTACGGTAATTTGATTCCAAACTGCCAAAACTGCATTTGTAAATTGTATACAATAACCATATTTATATATTACATAACTTATACAACGTAACGAAATCTTAAGTATAATAATATTATAATTATATATCTTAGCCAATAACCTACAACCTATGTATTTTATATATATATATATATACATGCACATATTATGTATCAACCACGTGTATCAATAAACTCTGTAAACACAAATAACAATTGTAACGACGCACACGAATAAAAAAAAGCCTCTTTAAAAAGCCCCGTCCTCGATCTTGGCGTCGTTGCACTCGTCCCTCAGTTTTTGCAGCTCGTAAGTAACGCAAATCATGCGCATCCTGGCCTCCTCCTTCCTGTACTCCGCCTCCTCGAGCTTCAGCCGGGCCTCTTCCTTGAGCAGCGCCGCGGTTTCCAGCTTCAGCTGCGCCTCGGATATCGCGTACTCGTACATATCGTTGCTCTTCTGCGTTTTTATGCACGGCTTCGGGGTCACCTTGCTCTGCCTGCACGTGGGCTGCAGCTTCTTCGGGGACGACGGCGACGAGGTCTTCCGCGTCTTTTGCCTCTTCGACGCTGGCTCGAGGCCAGGGTCGTCCACCAACTCGTCGTTGCCCTCCTGCTTGTCGTCTACCCCGTCCTCGTGAAAATCTACACAGAATTAAATCACCACAGGTGTGTAAAATCACATCCCCTGGATGTTGTTTTCATCTCGTATGGGTTATACCGTAGGGCTCCTTCTTGACTTCGGTGCAACGAAACGTGGGTACCATGAGTCCCTCGAAAGCAAAGGGCTCGGACTCTTTTGGCTGAAAAACGACGTTCGGCGGCAGTCCCAGGGTACTCGCCGGTGGCAGCTGCATCGTCAGGTCTTGCGCGGATTTACCACTTACACCCTCGTTGACCCGGTAATCACTGTAAACCCCCACCCCGATCACGCACAATTTTTGTAATCATGTACAATGCACTTGAGCACAAAAGCGGTAAAAAAGGGGCACCGTTTGTCCGCGTCGCGGTTTCTCTTGTTGGCCTTCATGTTTTCCCAGCAGCGGCGCAGTTGTATGGACGACCTCGAGTTTTCCGAGCCGACGAGCGAGTTGTACTCCTCCGTCAGCTGGGACCAGAGTGACTTGCGCCTCGACACGCCCTCGGTGCTCCCGTTACTGCTCCTAGCGCAGTCATCCTCGGTGTTGTTTTCGTGGCCGTTGTGCAGGTGCTTGGCTATCAGGTTCACGAGGATTTCTCGCTCCTCGAAGCTGTACGTTTTACGGGTCCCCTTGCCGCTCGCCGTTGAGGTTGAGGACATGTTCGGGTATACTTATGGCTGATGCTTATTTTGGCTTCGATTGGCCGATGTTACTGTGACAACTAAGGGTCTCCGAGGCGACCGATAGATCGGTTGCGTTATACTTAGTGTTGAAGAAAAAAAAAAAAAAAAAAAAAACGCCGAGCGTACTTTATTAATTTAAGGACAATGTGCGCTGGGCTTCAATGCGCAATTGAGGTATAGGTTCAAATTGACATGTCAAGCTAATGGGCACCACAACTAGTGTGTGTAGATTAAGTTGTGTAGCGATTTTTTAGGAAAAAACAATCGTAAAATACAATGAGAGAGTAATTGTATTTCGAGTGCAATATATAACTTTTATCTAGAAAAAAACTTGTGTAGCATGTTAATTTGCAAAGTTACCAGAAAAAAAAAACATGCAAGAAAATTAATTTACTGATTAAAGCATTAGTATAGTGAAATACAAATTTCCTTCCTCAAATATATGTGCTTTGCATTGGAAACGGTAATAAATGAAAATTCTGTAGTACTACCTTCAATGGTATATTTCAAACGATTATTCAATAGCGCAGTTAAAAATATACAGAAAATACGTTATACCATGTTCTCGGAGTCACAAATACTTTTATGCTCTTATTTGCTTGGACAAACTACTCAGATATCATAGAATTAATGATTACGTTTACCTGTTACCTATAACTTTTTACAACATAATGGAATATTACATCAGCAGAGCAGATTCAAAGTTACCAAGAATTTACTTGGCTTCCCAAAAATCATTTCACTTTTAAACTTTTTCGAGACAGTCAACTACAGATGTTTCAGTAAGCATAAAACACTGTAATTCATGAAAATTTCATTTTTTGTCACCAATCATACTGTGGTACTTTGTACGTAAAGTCATCACTTGTAACAATTGTCACTCCAGCTCCATAGTACGGAATAACATAGTGGGAACCATCAGCTGGCCCAACTATTTGTGTAGCTATCAATATCACATCACAAAATTGTCCAATAAATAGAAAACCTAAGGTACACAATTTGAGGAGTCCTATTCCAGGATATCCAAGGTAAAACCTGTCTACTCCAAACATTCCCAAAAATATAGACAGTAATAGGGATGTTTCAAATGAGTAGCCATTACTGAAATAAAGCAGATTAATCATAAAACGAGTTTTAGAAAACTGCATGTTTCATGAATAGTAATTGTACGTACGTCCACTTGCAAGGTATGTCTTTCTTGAAAGTATTGTTTTGGGTTTCTCGACAGATAAGTCTATCAGCTGCTAAACATACCACTGAAAAATATTTATAATATTTCAATTACACATTAACTGTAACTTTACTTCCTTTAAAAGGTTAGGTAATTTTTCAAAACACTAAGAAGCTAAATACAGTGTGTTCTAAGGTTGTCAATGAAATACTCACCACTAGCTCTATTCTTCTCCGTACAACCTTTGGGCTGTTGAGTTTTGGGATCAATAAAGTCATAATCTGGATGAGGACAGATATACTGCCCCATTCTAAGATTATCACAAGAAATAGTGATCGTATCATTTGCACCTATTGTATTTAGAAGAATAAATAACAGCAGAAAAATAAAACGGATTTTAATAAATCTTGTCATTTTTGTTGCTCACACAAGAAAAATTCAATTAAAACACCATTTTGTAAAAAATTTAATCAAAACACTTTTTCATCCACATTAAAGTTGGTACTTTGTTATTGTTATACATTGACCACATTGTACACAACTGACATCTGATACTGACATGCGAATGCGGTGCAAAACAAATTCCGATAAGTAAGAGTTAACTAAAGGTAAATTTTCATGGTCGCTGGTTTGCCAGCGTCTAGCGTCTGTCTCGATACTCTTAAACAGGAATCTACTGCCGGGAAGGAGGGCACTGATGCCAGACGCCCAGACAGCCTCTCTGAGCCAGTGAGCCTCATTCTTACAGCTTCCAAATCTTTATTTGAAATTTTCATTCACATCTAATTGGTACTTTAGATCAGTTTAAATCCCACTATTTACAAAACACAGTTTCCAACAATTTAGAGACATACAAAATTGAAGAACTCAGCTGAAGTGTCAAATACAAATGTAAATACTAGTCGATTGTGGTTAACATTTAAAGCTCTCATAATATATTTTGAGTTTAAACACCAAGAATCAACAAAGAGGATCAGACTCACTATATACCAGACCAAGTTAAGAGATTCTATGGAATCAATTAGTTACTTTCACGGATTATTGAATTTATTGGTCGCATAAAGACGGGTAGATGAGAATCATTAACTGTTACTTTTGTTGGTTCTTTCATATAGTATGTATTTTTATTAATCGAAGTACGTAAAGTGACATACTATCGAATTCCTTGTCATTTAGTTTTTTCTCAGTACTTACTTTTCTGCATATAGTAAAGTATTTAATTACGATATTGTAAGACGAAATTTCATGAAAAAAGTACTTGTCACTAAATTGTATAGACTTATCGTATTATCGACGACTGTAGTTTTTCAAATAACATTTTCTCAATAAATAACGAAATGATTGACAAATTTGTAATAACTATTAATATTTTTTCTGTACAGTCTAATTAGTTAACATCATTTTCAACCATATCAACACTTTCATTGGCATCTTCATCACTATCCTCATAGGCATCCTCATCAGTTTCATCATCGGCATCTTCGTCGGAATCTGTTTCTGCAGCTTGATCTAATTAGAAAAAAAAATGGTTGGTTAAAATAATTGATAAACTATACTTGAAGTAAACAATTTTAAAATGTAAATACCTATGTTTGTATCGATTTTCGCAAGTTTTTTCAAGTCTCTCATGTTCAAGTTATCAAAAATCTTCCATACGATTTCATCCGGAAGGCTTTTCAAATTCATTGTCTGTAACATATCTAAAAGAGCTTCATGAAGATGATCTTTGGCAGCATCTAATATTTTTCTTTTCTCGAGTGCCAGATTGATGCGAGTTTTTATCACATGCTCGAAATACTCTTTGTTAAAGAAAGAATTACTTAGGTAGAATAATCTGAATAAAAGCGAGCACGTATCAAAGTATTCCTTATTATTCAGTAATTTGACAAGGGAATCTAGGGACATCATAATGATATCATAGTAGGACATTTCATGCCATACTTCGAATGTTTTTAGTTCATCAAGCTTATTGCTGCAAGTGGAAACAATATTTGACAGCACTTTATTCACTTTAATGATTCCTTTCAGGGCTACCAAGTCTGAACTCAAATTATTCGAACGTGAGAGCATGGCATAGAAAAAAGCTAAAAGATTTATCCGTCTCTTCTGTTCTGGATATACAAATGAGTATGCAATAACTTCACTAAAGGCATGATATATCATACTGCTTACAATATTGTGATCCTTGTACTCCCAAAATAAACATGCTATTTTCGAATAAACAACTTCGTTTTCGGTTTCCCAAATAAAAAACATTCGAAAGTACCTATTAAACAAACGTTCTTTGATCAACGTAAATAAACTAAAAAATAAATTTTTATTACTGATCGAATAACTAACCTATGGCTTCGGAAACCAGCCTCTAACAGCATTTTTGTGGTTCTATAGAGACTTACAGCAGCAGCGAGAGCTACACTCATGTCTTCGCAAAACAAATTTTTTTTCGTCAAATCAACGTAATTAAGATCGATCAGACGATCGATTAAATTCTCGTAACCTAAAGTAACGGCAACAATGAGTTCATCTAATCGTAAGTCATTCTTATTAAAAGGAATCCTCAATTCTTCGGCGGTCCGTGGAGGTAAATCAACCGACTTTATTTCTTGAATGCCTGTGATTTTAGTCAACATCACGAGCATCAAGTCTCTATCGTTTGTCTCGTTTATTTTTTTTACAGCTAAATAAAAAGGCGTTTCATCAATAACATTGCGTGCACGCAAATCCGCTCCTGTTAAAACATGTTTACATTTTAATAGTCAGCTTAGATCACTGTAACACTTTACAGCCGAACAAAATTTGAATTATTACGGAAAAAAAGTTTTTAATTTACCGTATTCAATAAGTAGTCTACCAATGGCGTTAAACTGATTATTTTTTCGGTCTTTGCCGTATTCTAAACCAATTAGTAAATGTAAAGGTGTATTGCCAAAAATGTTTTTCACGTTAACATCTGCTCCATTCTGAAGCAGAGTTTTGACCTTTGATTCGTTCTTATCATTGACAGCGAGATGCAATTCCGAGTTACCTATTTCAATATCGAAATTAATTCCCTGCTGAAGTAGTAACTTTTTGAGGATGCAATTTTCCTCATTTAAATGATGGTTCGTGGACTCAATATAGTATACAAGAGCTTTGGACGAATACTGTCCATGAGAATCTATTTCAGCTGCATTTTTGAGTAAGTACTCAAGAATTTGCCGCTGATCTGGTTTACATGCTTTGAGTAAACATTTGTAAATATTTTTACTCTTTGCACTGTAAAGAACAAAATAACATTGTCACGTGAAAAAATTAAAATTAAATTATCACGCAGAGTATTCGGTAAGAAACGTGATAAGACACTTAGTATATCTTACCCACACGCTACGAGCTTTTTTATAAGATTCAGAGAGTAATTAGCAGCAACTGCCAACTCTAAAGGCGTACAGTCATTAAGATCAACAGTATTGGGGTCAGCCTTGTGATCCAGCAACATCGTAATGATTGATTCGGAAGCTTTCCATTCTAAAGCAGTAGGCAAAGCTGTTAAACCAAAGGTATTTATGATATTAGGATCAGCTTTGTTTTCCAAAAGAACCGCAATGCCTTTGATCTATTTAATATTAAAAATTAAAAATTTTAGTGCCTTTTGTTATTTGTTTGAGAAAAGTGTTACCTGATTTCTTCCCGCAGTTAAAATCAGTGTTGGATCAACGCTGGTATTCTGGTTATCCCTTGCAAGCATATTAACATCTGCTCCATTATCAACAAGCAGTTGCATCATTGGTAGTCTGTCATCAGCTTGTTGGGGGTTGACGTGAGAAACATTATCATAGACCATTTGTAATGGTGTTTGAAAATCAACGTTGAAATCATTAACGCAAGTTGGATCTCTAAATCGTGGATGAGAAAAACAAGGAAGATAAAATTGCATAACGTACTCGGACAAAAATTATTACCTCTGCAAAATTTCACGTGCTAGTTGAACGTTGCCAGAACGCACTGCATCATGGATAGATTTACCCTTAGAATCCGGCATCATGAGGTAAGTGTATATTTGTTGTACTTTTTGAAGAAAAAAAAAAAAAAAAAAAAAAAAAAAAACGAGCTTAGTGTCTCAATTTTCCTAGTCAACCCCAACAGTTTTCCGATATCAAATACTACAGCCCAATAAAATCAGTGCGTGCAGATCAAAAGTAAATAAAACATAAATGACAAGTACGTGTACCTATTACCTTATCTATTAAAAATTTTCCGACTACAGCTTAAACATTGACCTTAAGCAACATGCAAATAATTTTTCAAGTCGATAAGTCATGCTCATTCTAACTTAAAAAGTTATACTATTTGTCATTTCAAGTTATTACTCTTAATTTATTTCAATTAAAATAGATACCTGATAATCCACCTTGACAACTTTTTCACGTTAGCGGAGGTTTTCAATTTTGTAGGTTAAATCTGATCCAGTGATGTGAGTGATCAGCCCGCGTTTCTGTAGAAGCAAAATTTTAAAAGACACAACTAGCGCTATCTGCCGGAGAATTTTCCGAAACCGAAAAAGAAAAGGGACTTAAAGGGTACTTTTTAGTTTTAAATCAGCCACGCTAGATGGCGCTGATTGAAATGCATGAACCGAGTGGCGGCGAGCATAAAATCGTATATAACAGACTACGTTGGGTTCTATATTTACAATTAGAGGCAGTGGCACAATTAAACTGGTGGTAATTATTGTTATTATTATTATTATTATTATTATTATTATTATTATTATTATATGGAAAAACTCTTTAAAATGAATATGGAAAGGTATGGCACTTGCATGACCTTATAAGTAAAAAGCTGTTTCAAGTTATGAAATAATTTTATTTTTATTACACAACAAATACAATTAATTAAAATATTTCAAGTTTGATAAAAAAGAAGTAAAAGTATTTATTTCTTTTTTTTCCTATCGACAAATCTATCTAAAATTAAAAAGAATTTCTTTAAGGAATAACGATGCATGTAGGGTATGCATAGTATGGCAGCGACGCAAGAGTAGTTTTTTTTTTTTTCTATTATCCTTGTTCAACATTTAGCAAAACTTGACTATTTGCAACTTGGAAGGTAACAAATCAAAAAAAACAATACGCAATGAATCGAATTCATTGGTCGAACAATGGGTTAAGATAAACAAGTCGAGCATTGTTGAATTTTTTTTTATTGTATCGTCACTTGAGTTTATCGCGCAACGACAGCTATCTTCGTAAGCTGAATTTAATAAATTTAACTGCTCGATGCTTATGTCCCTTACCTTTAGTTATGTGTCTATTTTTTTTTATGTTTGAATCTCAACCAATCACACATCTCCGTCGCTAATTAATACTTAGTCTTATTATCATTTAACTTTACTCTGTTTCTTTTTCATATTTGTCATCGTCTTTCCTTTTTTTTTATAATAACTCTGTCTCCAATACTTTTGTCGACTTTCTTTATTGACTGTCGCTCTTTCTCTCGTTTTTTCTTTAGAATCTTAACTTTATTTTTATCACGATTTGCCTTTCAGTTTTCACTTTTTTATTATTTTCATTTACTCTCACGAAGAATCCGCCTACGAATTATAATATTTATATACCTAAAGTAACGGCAACAATGANNTTTTTTTTTTTTTTTTTTAAACATCGACGACCTGCACAACGTTTTAATACACGTGGGAACTTGCGTGATACGCGAAAAATAATGTACTCCAGCAAATGGCATGGTTTGTTTTTGTTTTAACTTTGTATTGTCTTTTATTACATACTTTATTTTAAAGCCATTCGAAAAGAATCAAATGATTTTGAAAAATACCATTACAGTAAAATGACATGCACAATCCAATAGAAATGAAGGCTCGAATCCTTACAAACTAAAACCCAATGATGTTGGATTGTAAAATATGTTCTGCTTGTAGTTCATGTTTCACGTTTACAATTAACAACAGTTGGCTTAAGGTTTATTTCTATAACTTTGTGAATTGCAAAAATTAAATCACTTTGCTCCCTTGACTATTTTGAGTATACGTCCTGTTAACACTCTATTTCTCTTTCTTACATTCTTCACCTTTTACAATGCGGACGATTATCAGGACGATTCAGCAGGCACGTCGACAGTTAGAACAAGATATTTCTATATTTTTTAACGTCCTAAATACATATTTACAAAGCCTCTAGTAACGAGGCCAAAGTTTCTTCTTCTTTTTTTTTTTTTTTTTTTTTTTTTCCCTACTTCTGATTTCATTGTCTTTCTTTAACGGAATCCAGAATGCGCATTATTTCGCTTGCTTGATCAATTCGTCTATTTTGCTTTAATATTTATATTAAAAATTAACAAAGCATGCCACTAACATTGCTCCGAGTTATGTTCGCTATTATTTTCTCAAAACGTTAGGTTATTTTTATTGTTATTACTATTATCTGCAGAAGCTATCGTTTACTTTTACTAAAAATCGCACGAGAGTCTGAGACACTTCGTCGTTCAGCTACACGAAGAGCGAAAGGAAAGATCTGAGGCAGTCTTTAACATCATCTTTATTTTACATTCATGAATTATGAAAAATAATCAGGTGTCTAAATGCTACGCGAGTGGAAAAATAGGTTAAACTTTTTGGAATCAATGTCTACTTTTTGTTTATTTGTTTGTCTTAAAAAGCACGTTACGCACGCTAATACACTTTCTCATTAATATCTAAAAATTTATCTTCATTTATTTTTTGTCAGTATTATCTATGGACTACTTGTCTCATAATAGCTATATTTTATAATGTTCTTTTTTTTCTTTTTCTTTTTTTTTTCTTTAATATTTTGTACTTAAGGTTTTAATTTTTTAAATATTTTTTAAAACGTTACATTCTGTATTAACATTTAATCAGAGAATCTAAAACATTTGGCACTGCAACAATAATACTTTAATCAAAACGCAAATCAATAATTACTTTTCATAATTCATCTAAAATAATCACAAACGCGTGTACCCTCTATGTAGAAAAAAAAATGTATCGTCCGAGGCGACTACGCGACATACACTAACGCGAATTCCGGATACAATTCTGCAATGAGGCAAGAACAAGTCAACAAATTTACTGACCCTCTATCTCGTTGGAACGTCCAATCGTACGAACTTTCAACAACTATACCTAATCATTGAAAAAAGGAAAAAAAAAAAAAGAGATTTAAAGAAATGTTCTCCAAAACAAAAGAAAAACGTCGTGACGCAGCTGGAAAGCATTCATCAAATTCCCTTAACAACTTAGCTCTTATCACTTTTTACGATTACTCTTAACAGATGCAACGGAAGAAGCGAAAACTAAAAAAAAAAAAAAAAAGAGAGAGAGAGATGAACGAAAACCTAGTTGCAGGCGCAACGCACGCGATCCTGGGCAGATCAGGCGTGACGTCCGACATCCGGAAGGTATAGTGGTCAGATGATCGCGCTGCATCAGGATCTTCCGGGTGTGGAGCTGGTTCTGTAAATCAGGTATCGTTAACAAAGTTGAGGATCTCGACGAGCCCAGGGGAGGAAGAAAGGGAAGAGCGCACCTGCGCGACTCGCCACTTCTTAAAGGGTCAACGGATTATCCGACAACAGTTTTCTGCGAATCCTCGCCCTCTCACGTCCCTACGTATCCCTAGGAAAAAAAGGCAAATTATAATCTTCAATAACGAACGTTGGTTCGAACGAGCAGCGACGAGGCGTAAGTATGCTTACTTTAAAACGACCTTTTCCATCAGCATGGAAAGCCGAGCGTCTGAATGATTGGTCGGGAGCAGCGCTTTGAATATCTCCTTGACGAAACTCTCGCTCATCCCTGGCGACGTTCTCTCCGCGACTTCGAAGGCACCTCTCAGCTCGTCCAGCGCACCGACATGTCTACTGGAATTGCTGGCGTCGCCATTGTCCCTCGCAGCGTACTGGTATCTACGCTGCAACTGCATTCAAAAATCATTATTATTGTTGGTGCTATTTCTCAATTATAACACTTCACGCAGTTGTTCCTTACGAAAAACTTTGTAACAGAAAAGTATAAAATGACAATTTTCCGATGCCCATCAACTCGATGCACGTCTAAAAGCAAACGTAACTAAATTCTACCGGTTAATTAATCCTATTGTCCCGCAAGCCAGCCCGACCCCACTGAAAGGTCTCAAAAAGCATTGTCCCTGCTGAAACCCAAAACTTTTCATCCCCCGAGTTTTCAAACATCCCAAGCCCGACTCGAGTTTTACAAGCCAGCTAACAACCGCTAACAACGAACTGGAAAAAACAAACATAAAGGAAGTAATTACATCAGACAGTAGTGGAAAAATGACGCCGTTGACGATGGGACTACGCGGATGTTTGAGTTCCTGCGAGCTCCTCGGTCTCTGTAGCTGCTGTTGGTGGTGGTGGTGATCCCTTAGCTGTGGTTTTTCCTCGTTGCGATGCTCCACGAGCACCTCGGACTTGGTTTTCCGCTCGCGCTGTTCTCGGCTGTTGCTCACGGCGTTGCTGCTGTTTTCCTCGTTGTCGCGTTCGCGGCGACGCAGCACATTGTCCCTGTCCTTGTTGGAGCTCCGCAACGTCGATTCTCGGCTCGACGAGTCGTGATAGTCGCGACCGCTGTTGTCCACCACCGACGACACCTTTGGCGTTCCCTCGTGCGTCCGAGACTATAGGAGTGGCCAATATGAAAGATTAATGTTTCTATTGCTGTGACTGCATAATTTTATTTTTTTATTTTTTTATTTAATTTAATTTAAAAAAAAGGGTATCACGATCTGGTTTTAATTTAGTTTGCGTTGACGGTAAAATCAAAATATATATATATATATTTTTAATACATAACAACAACTCATTACCGAAGAAAAGCACACGATGAGCACAGCATTGATCAAACGAGCCGGTGCTCGTTGCATAAGTAAATCAATAGATGCATCCTCGGCACTTGTTTGTCTATAAATAAACAACCTCGGTACGTACAACGCATTGTGCGAATTTTTTGGAAGCCGACCAAAATACCGCGAGGACCCCTAATCCCATTAACCCGCAACTAGAGATGAAAAAATACTACTATTTCCATTTTATCAAGCCTACCCTTGCGATGATGTAATCACCAGGTTGTTTTTTTTTTTTTTTTTTTTTTTAATCATTGTTATTGTACACACGAGGCCAATGGTGTTTTTTCGAACGGTATATAATCGAACGCGACGGAAACCATCAATCTCCAGCCCCGATGCAATACGCAACGCGAAAAAGCAGCTCGAGCAAACTTTCTAGAAATGCCGGCTTGAGTAACAAGGTCTTGTTAAATAAGTCCCGAACGGTATACGTGTGCGCTTATTACATATAGAAGAGAAAGAGTTGGACGGACGGGCGAAAGGTGGATAGAAAAAGTTTCTCCCCGTTTCCGAAAATAGTACATAGGTGCAATATATGTATAGATCATCATAAGCATTATTTGTAAGTAATGTATGTACCGGGGTGTGCTTGTTCTGTATGGAAATGTCCCTGGAGTCGTTCTTGTAGTGATTGACATTGGACTCCTTGGGCGGGGACCTGGAGGCACCGTTCGCGTGCGGCTTGCTCGGCTCCTGTTCCCGCTGCTGGGGCCTGTGGTTTGGCGTATGATTAGCGTTCGATGACGTACGAGATTGTTGTTGCTGCTGTGGCATTGGATCTTCGCGCAACGCCACGGGCAACATCGAGGGTCCCTTCAGCCCGTGCGGTCCTTTAACTGTCATTATCCACGGCTCGTCCATGTCGCTGTCCTGCTTGGACTCTTCCCTGTGACATACATTTATAGGGGGTATGGTCAACTTTTGCATTTTTTCACGGGTCAAAAATAATAACGCTGTCAAGCTTTTCAATCGGGAAAAAAAGGTGGTGCAACGTCATTGCCTATACTACAAAGGGCGTGGACTTACGAGTCTGAATTCTCACTCTCCGTCTCGGATTCCTCGCTGCGCTGCGACTTCCACTTCTTGTATCTGTCGATCAGGTCAATCAGGTACGAGTTCTTTTTCGCCTTGCGGATGAATTGGAACTTTAGCAGCTCCTTTGCCGTCGGCCTCTGTAACAAAGCGTGTGTTTGTAAGAATATCACGTATGTATTAACATTTTCTTTTTTTTTTTTTCATTTCATTTTTTATGACGAAAGTTAAAATATACGAGGGCATAGTCAGACTTTGATACGATTGTTTTATGGCTTTTTAAATAATTTACAAATAATATATGTTTTACCGAATGAAGGGCAGATGTAAGTACTGTACATTTTTGTTATTGTAATTTATTTTCAAGTATAAAATACTCTGTTATTTTTTCTACAACTTTGACTATATTCTTTGAGTCCAAATGGTTTTTTCTTCCAAATTTTAATGCAGTTGGTATTGCTGGATGAAAAAACAAATTGTTGCCAAGCAAAATCAGTATTCACAAAAAAAAAAAAAAAAAATTTATCATCACAAATAATGAACTATAAGCTTCAATAAAAAAATAAAAAATAATATAAATGTATCCGTGCCCAAGTACAAATTTAGTCGTTGCGGGGGTATTCACTAACGGCCAATTAAATCAACAGAAGAACCACGTTATGATTTGGCTGAATCGTCGCGAGACTCGAAAACCCTTTTCACCATTGCGCAAGCAAACGCTCAACGGAGCCGTGGTGACGGACGGATACGGGTCACGGTAAACGCGCACGTATATGCGTGTGTACCGGCACCTTATCACTCGTTGAAATGACTTTTTTTTTTTTTTTTTTTTTTTTTTTTTATATTCACCGAGTCGCCACCCGCTGCTTGTACACGTGTGACTCAGCGCTGGCTTTGATCTCGCTCGGATTTCAGCGCGCCCGTAACGAATGATGATTTTTCCATCGAGGCATATCGAGTTTCGACGTGCCGAGTTGACGTTCGGCGATTCAGACCCGCGATAGGGGAGAAGGAAAAAAAAAATACAACCACGGGATCACAACGAGATCGACGCGTTTGTTTACCGATACCTTGAATCATTGTTGACGAGCCCGTACGAGTATATTTTATATATAATTTATATTTACGATGAATCGCCAAAAAGTCGAGACGATGATACAAGACGCTCAGCAAAATGCAAACTTTTGGTGAGCGCGTTTGTTATTACGTAAGTGCATCGGGCAGCCGATCGTTATCCGATGCTTCGAAATTTCCTTCGACAATATGACCCACGTATACCTATACCTCACGCTTTCGACTACACAGGAAGCGGAAGGTCAAAAGGGAGGGGGACTAAAATAATCATTTATCGTGATTCGTCTCCATTAGAGTGATTGAGACACGTTCACCGAAAAATCGGCATTTCGTGGCGCTAACCGATCCGAGTACGAGTTTTCCTTGGAAGCACCACTGAGAAAGGAAGAAGGGGGGAAAAAAAGGCACTCACGTTCTCGGGGTCCTTGTTTAGACAAGCCTCGACAAACTCCTTGAACTGCTTGGTGTAGTTGCCGGTCAGCTGGGGCGGGTTGTTCTTCGGTATGAGGAACAACACCCTCATGGGGTGCAAGTCGCTGTTGGGCGGCTCGCCTTTGGCGAGCTCGATCGCCGTTATACCCAGTGACCAGATGTCCGCCTGTAATGTATTTTTTTTTTTTTTTTTTTTTTTTCCAACATCCAACATATTTTGCAGGCTCGTTTTTGTTATAGTCCTCCTCCATTCGCATCATCACGATCGAGTTGAATTAAACGCACGTGGTACGGGTGACGCGGGCAAAACAGTTTCATTGACAAGATGATATACTAAATTACGCGCGTGGTGCACCAACTGTCGGCGAGTGTACTTACGTGATATTTTCGATTTGACGTCATACGCATACATATGCGCGTGGTTTATCACAAGTGGACCGATTCCCCGAAACACCGATGGTGCACATTTGTTTATGAGACGTATTTTACAAGAGTGGCTCGGGTTATTGGCTTATCAGAGCATAAGTTGGCTTGTCGAAACATGTCAGCATTATCAAATTGTATAAATGGGTATGATAATAGTGAGGACGTGACTCGCCGATGAGGTTTCTTTGAATTTCATTGTCCCGAGTGGACTCGGATTCGTTTGTTGTGAAAAAAAATTTGGTTCTTGTTTACTAACTCTGTGTCATATCTAAAGAGACCACAAGCCCCGTCTCATCTTCAAAGTCGATCGAGAACGAAACGTATAGTTATAGAAATTGTAAATATACTCTTAATTAGCTTCTTTATATGAATTGTAATTAAAATTATTTTGTCGTTTAGTACATAATATGTATTTAAATACAACAATTATATTAAGTACTTTGATTTTTTTGTAATTGTAACAAAATATCAAACAAAGTGCGTTAACAAATTAATGCATTGTTTCAAATAAAGTAATTCAAACTTTTTTATTTATCAATTACAATTGTTTACACATTTTATTTCAAATTAACAAAATATTTTACTGAAAAAGGGTAAACACAATTGTGTTCGATATAATTGTCTGAAATGAATCACCAATGACATATTTAATCGAGTAAATGATTTAAAATAATATGTCAATGAGAAGAATGATGATTTATTTAATTTACTAAGTACGGTTGTATTTACAACTTTGATCAACATTTTTTTCAATTACTGTATTTCAAATAAAATAATTGTTGTAATAGATATAAAATAATCTTAAGTACTAATAATTGCTACCGGAAAAAAAAAAAAAAATGTTTTTGTCAACTACAATTGTATCGGATATAAAATTTCCCATCTCTGTGGGTATGTACCGTTGAGAGCACTGAAAAAAACTCCTACCTTGGAATCGTAGGCGGACTGTTTGATAACCTCCGGTGCCATCCAAAAAGGCGTGCCGACGAAAGTGTTGCGCTTACTGGTGGTATTCGTCAGCTGGCCCGCGACTCCGAAATCCGCCAGCTTTACGTCGCCCATCTCACTTAGCAGAACGTTCGCCGCTGTAATTCCAATCGCGTAAATGATTACTTTTAGTGTTTTTCACTAAGCACTACGATCGAGATTTAATTTTTTTTTTTTTTTTTTTTTTTTATCTCGGTAATAAATCTCTTGCAGTTCGTAGCTCTTTATTTTTCTTACCAAGCACGTATTTTTTAATTAATATACAAAAGAATTTTTATTTTTCTCGGATCGGTAAAAGTGATCGAGTATAAATTTATCGGTTATCACCAGCGTCAAGCGATAATATTAAATGCCGATCAAATCTCTTTATCACTGGCTTGGTATTTCAACATCACTCGGTAATCAATGTATCGTCTATTTTACGTAAGAATTGCATGAAAAAAAAAAAAAAAAAAAAAAAAGTTCAACACATCCCACTGTAACTTCAACTCAACTCAACTAATGAGGGAAAGATTCGAAATCCCACTCGTAATAATCCCTGCGGTATCCAATAAGGTATAGTTGGCCAAATCCCTTTCAAATGAAGTTCCATCGTTAGCCCCGCGCGCGAGTGCCGTTCATCGAAACTATGCCCAACTTCTGCGAAAGCGGCTCTCAAAATTCGCTCAAAGTTGGTGTTGTCTCTATACTCTGGGCGTGCGATATCTTCCCTATCTTTGGTCGTAATTGCAAGGGTACCGTCTTCGGAAAACTGTCCTTTTGTTTCGACAAAAAATGCTTGCTGCTGAAATTTTGCTTTGTCGGCTGGTCAAATAGAGTTTTTTTTTTTTTTTTACGGATTATTTACTTTTCCTGCGAGATCTTTAAATTGATTGTTAAAAGAATATTTTTTTAGACGATAACACGAGGCAAAAGATCGTGTGACGCAATATTTGAAGAAAGTGCCCGTCATTTAGTTCAAAGTTGGAACAAGGGCCGGACCGTGAAGGCAAATTCTCAAGAAAGAAAAGCTTTTGGACCGAGTCCAAGGTACCTAAAAATTTTTTTCCTCTGTTTTTCAACCTACGGGTATTATATATCTCTGCTGCCTTTCAAGTTTAAACTAAAAGTGTCCTTCGGCCTTTCTGTGCTTAAAATAATTTTTTTTCCCAACAACGAGCTGTCGTATGCTTTTTTTCACGAATTATAGTAATCCTCACTGCAAGATGTGATAGAAAAAAAAAACACCATTTCGCTCACCTTTAATATCGCGATGCAGCTTACGCTCGCTGTGAAGATAGTCGAGGCCTTTGAGTACCTCCCTGAGGATGACCGCTATGTGCATCTCCTCGAAACTCCCGGCCTTCATGAGGTCCAGTGCCGAGCCGCCGCCCAGATATTCCATAATGATCCACAACTTTGTGCCCTGCAAAAATAAAACACGTTTACCATCGAAAATTCGCTCGTTTGGAAATTAATTTCAAGGAGAGAGCGCGAGGCTCGTTATTTAATTAGGTATGCGCGGGAGCCCCTGCACGATTGTTGACTTTTTTTTTTTCTTCATACAATTTACTTTCAAATTAAATTCCCTTTTTTTTTTTTCTTCATGGTGCGTAAACTCGGATGTACACGGTGTTTTTGCACTCGGGTGGCCGCGGTGAGCGATTTTTATTTTACTCGCAGTTGTAATCCGAGCTCTGCATCAGTCAAGTACTTAATACTCGTGTATAAAGTGTGGATTTAAATTAGCCCGCGATAATTTGAAAGTAATTCGTATTTATGCTGAAAATTAATTCAAGCCGGCTGCCTCGTATTTTTTTTTTTTTTTTTTTTTTTTTTTTTACTCGTAATAAACAACGGTGCATCAGATTAGCAGAGCCTCGCATCCTACACGTTAGCAGCAGGTCTCGTAAATACACTGAAAACAAATTTCTTTGGAGTTAAGAAAATATTTACTAGAGTAGTTTCAAGAAAATAAACTCTTGAAATAAGAGTATCTTTTCTTACATTAAGAAAACATTTATTTTAAATGAAAAAACATTCCTTATTTTAAAAAATTTCATCTTGTTTCAAGAAAAAATTTACTTGGAATTATGCTACTATTAATTAGCATAAAGAATTTTCCTACTAAAAAACAGTGTTATATATATTATATTACTGTTAGATAATTTTAGTTTATTTTAAAACGCTCGATAAAACCTCTTAAAAAATTTAGTTTTGGATGAACAAAAATGTTCCCAACGCAAACGATGCATCACACTTTTCCTAGCAAAAAAAAATTCTAACGCAAAAGCCGCCACACACCCACCGTTTCACCACCTTGATCGCTCCTCGTGAAAAATGATGCGTAGTTACTCACCTGATAGCCACGCAAGCGCGAACGCACAAATAAATCAATCAGAACCAAGATTACCCAATTTGCTCGTAAATCTATTAGAGAAACCTGTACAATGCGTCGCACCAAAAATAAAACGAGACCACGCTCGTCTCGCGTTGCTGTGCGTATGGAGGCCAAGAGAGGATCAGGGCGAAGAAAAAAAGAGGTGAGCTCTACCCCTAATAATCAAAAGCTTCGCAAACTTCGGCACACCTGAAGGGGTCAACGTGATTACGCCCCCGCGAATGTCGGAAGGAGCGAGAGAACGAGAGAAAATTCGATCTCACCGATGACGCCTTACATGTGTGCAGTTCGCGCTTACGAGGGAGCTGTTGACTGGAGAGGTTGTTGTTGGTATGAACCCCCGTATCGATGGCTAAGCAGCAATCTACGTGTGCTATATGTATACACTACGCGTTTGTATGTTCCCACAGAGGCTTGATTATTACGGCGCCCCCCACGACACTGGCCAATCTCTGGATTACATTCGAGGGGTAGTGCACGGAGGTGATTTTCCTCTCGGCCCTTTGTGGATAAATCCTCTCGTTGCACCCGAGTGCCTCTCTTATGTTGGTTGTTGTTGTTGATTTTGATTACGGGCCATAAAACAATTGTCGCTTACTCGTAGAATTTTTTTAATGGTTTTTGCTAACGCTGCTTGTATAAGGGTGCGAGCAAAATAAAGGCCATGAAGTGTTGTAAAATTGTAAAAATTGGGCAAGCGCAGGTGCGATCGTAAGCCTTGAAAGCACTGTAAATTCTTTTGACTTACGGCGAGGTCGTAAAGAAAGTTTCAAGTGTGTCTGACTAGTACACGACCTGTTACTACTTGCGAGAAAAATGTCGGTGCAGTATACGAACACTTTTTTTTTTTTTTTGTTCTTTTGTACTTTTTATGGAAAATGACGCCTCTTTCCCGTTTTTTATTTAAAAGGTAAAACTGCTGCGTGTTATAATAAAATAACACAGTTTTCATTCTATGAGTATTTTCAAATAGAATACCAACGAGTGTGCTTAATCATTTTAGGAGAGTTTTTCAAGCAATTTATTGTAAATAAAATTTTTTACTGCCAATTTTTATAAAGTTTGAGATTTACTATTTGGATTTCGTCGGTAACTTTCACAAACAAGTCCCAAAGACTTACATCAGGTGAATTACGCAGATATAAAACTTTTATACCTTCCACATGTCTGTCAAAGGCTATCTTTCCTCGGGTATGATATCCAAATAATGCGCCATGATTTTTCTCCACTACTAGCTCCAACATAAAAGTTTACTCAATATTATGCCGGTAAACGTAATAAAAATATTCTTTTTCCACGCGAACGAAGTAAATATAAAAAAAAAGGACAAAGTTTCACGACAGCCATCATTCGGACGATTAGACGCGATAGACGAGGAGTCAATAATGACAACAACAATCCAGGGCATAAAAGAGCAATAACACCATAACAACGGAGCCAATAGAGTTCACCGGCGACTCTAGCCTCCACCAAGCACTCGCGAAGCGCAATAAATGCAGCGCCTTAATGGCCAATCTCAATATAAGCGTCGCTCGGATCAATTAAATTCAATCGGAACCCCTCGACTCTCCCCATCTTGTTTTCTTCCTCTTTCGCTCGCTTTGTTTTTCCCACGTCCCTTTCATCCACCCCTTCTCCCTCCCTCATCTTAGCAGAGAGCGAACGACCCGTTAATAATCCGCGCGACGGCCGGCCAATCGGGTGATAAGGGAGCAAGGACGCGAGCGCGGTAATCCACGAGTGTACTTCTTTTTCTCGCCCCCCCCCTCCCTTTTTTTCCAGCCATTTCCAGTCTGTAAACCATACACCTTTTTACAGTGCTTATCCCTTTGCTGTTACATGTCTCGGTCGAAAAATGTTCCTGTCGATTCTCGGAATGGTGTTTGCGGAGACAATAATGTCACGAGCGGTGATTGTTGCTGTCACTGTCACAGTGATGGAGACCGATATTTCAAGTCATAAGGGATGATTTTAGATGCTGATGAGCTTGTTACCATCACTATTTCTTTTTTCTAAGGCTTCTAGCGAAATGGAAATTTATAACTCGGAGAAGATGCTTTTCAATGACGAGTTTGTTTAATTCTGTGTCTTGAAACTTGGGGACCGAAACTTTGGCGATTCTCAAACTTATTTTCTGGACAGCACTATTAAAAGTACGTGTTTTTTACGTATGTTAAAATAAATTGTTTTCAATTTAAATTCCGAAATGTATACTCGTCCCTCGGAAAGCATTAATTTTTTGGTATCTGTCTTTATTCTTCAATGATTTGATACCATTTTTGTAAAGTTTGTTTTCACAAAAACAATTTTCTTGGAGCCAAGAAAAGAATATACTAGAATAGTACCGAGTACATATTTTTATATTATCTTGAAAAAAGACAATATTTTATGATGTCAAGAGTATTTTCTTTTATTAGTAATAAATGTTTTTTATTTATTTTTTTTTTTTTTTGTAAGTATAAAAATATAAAATCTTGTTTGAAGGGATTATTAAATTGGAAATTTTCTTTCAGTATACATTACACTTCAAGGGCCCCTTCACTTGACATCTTGAAATCCAAGTACTTGCTCGGGGCCCACGGAAGCGACCACAAATTTACGTTCGCCCGCAATTTTCCGGGACTCGCATCGTCGTTTTATTTCCCCGATCCACCAACACGATTTTCCGCGTCTAGGGTAATCAAGTTTCCGACGCCCCGATGATGGGACTAACGAAATAACGCCACGGAGGGGGAGGAGAAAAAAAAATGAAAACACCACGCCTTTCGATCGATGACAGTAATCACATGCAGTTTACTCGAAGCAATGGCTGGAAATATTTCCACTGGGAATCGGTGTTGATGTTACAAGTAAAATCGATCAAGGCCTTTTTACCCTGGCGCGTATATTTATTTATAAACCATCCAAGAACTGTCTTTACTTGCCCGACGTGTTTCATTTGTGCTAGATAATTACAAACAAATGGATCACGTAACCCTTGTGCTTAATATTTTTTTAACAAACATTATACATTTATGGCACAGTAAAATTCATCGATCCGTTAATTCGTGGCCCACGGATGGAGTAATTGCTGTTTTTTCAATATTACCAATTATTAAATGACGCAAGCTCGATGAGCTTATTTTTCAAGTATTTCGTACAACCCTTTGTTGCACATTATTTTATTTATTTTTTGATACTCGAAAATACGATGCAAAGTTTAATTTTTTATAAAGTTTTCAACAAAAATTTAAAAAAAAAAACAAAGAAATTTGTCGAGTACCGTTTATTTTATGGTAACAGACCCTTTTTTTCTCCGATACTTGTTTTCCTTTTACGAGATATTAACATTCCCAAGTTTGCTTTGCTGTGGAAAGAAAGAAAAAAAATATACACCCACCATTCAAAGGCAAGGTTTATTAAACGCGATGGCGACATACATTCGTAAACAAACCACATCCTCCTGAATCATCGTCACAACATCATCCTCACGCAAACAGAGTATGCGAGCCCAAAAAAAAAAAAAAACTCGATCGTTTACATTTTGCGGTGGGTATACAAGTGTTATTACTTATTCATGCAAACCCACGTAGAGGTTTGAGATCCCGTGCAGGGATACGACCCAACGAAAAAGTACAAAAAAGAAAAAAAAGGACCGAAGTTCGTTCAACCCACCGAGAGTCGTTGAATCGATCCCTAGCTTTCGTGCCGCCTTCTCCACTCCACTTATACGGCACCCCTCCCCCCCTCCTCAGTGACGTCAAACAACCTACTATAATGACGCACTTGAGGAACCACACGCGTATTTTCTGTCGAATCAAATGAAAAGTGTACCCAATATACCTATACGTGTCCCAAGAAAGCCTACAAATTTAAAGCCTGCACGCGGAAGCTAAGTAATTAGAAAGACGAGGAAACGAGCTTTTTTTTCCTTCGCCGGTAAAGAGACAAAGAGATAGAGGGAGAAGGAGGATGCGGCAAGGTCGTCCGGGGACCTTGAACTTTCCGCTATATGGTTGATGGCCTCACAGCGAGGGAGAGAAAGGCTGCTACTGTTTTTTTTATGACCAAACATCGAGCATCTCCGAACTGTTTACCTTCTACGTGTTTTGGGAGAAAAAGAGAGCTTGCAGAGCTTTTTCCATTGCGTTCCCCGTGTTTCGGGCGCGCTTTTGTTCAATAAATAAACGAAGCGCGCTAAACTGTGGGGTATGCAGAGAAAAAAAAGTTGTGCGCTTGGGTTTATTCGATTGGCCTCGAGAAAAGTACACGCAATTGCCGATTGAAATCAAATCCCATTGTCTTTATTATAGCCCCTTCCTCCTCTTTTTTTTTTCTTTTTAACGGCACTTGTATTCTTTTTTCTTTTAAAAAAGTTTCAGGTACTTGCGCTTAAGGATACTTTGATGTAAAAGAGCGTAGTTGAGAATGAAATTGAAAAATATTGTCATTCGATATTCAAGTGCTTCATAATTAAGACATTTTTCCGCGTAAAAGTGAACGAGTGTCTTGTCTGAGTTTTAAGGATTTCGTTTATCAAAAAAGGCTCTAGATCTCTACAGATATATACTTTCACAGGGAAAATTCTTGGATACATTACTAGCAAAAAAAAAAGTCAAAAATTACAAATTTTACAATGAGAGTCAAAAGACTTGGTACTTACAGCCAAACGAAAACTCGTTGACTTTTCAACAATGTTTTTTTAACAAAAATTAAATCAACTTTCTTACACGTGCAACCGATGACGTGAAATTATCAAACCATAAAAACAACTTTTCACGCCGAACATCGATGGATTCAAGCAACTTTTTGCCAGACTATTGTAGTATAAGGTAGGTATAATCAATCAATTAGCACATCCATTTATCCATGCCCTCCGGCATCGATCCAGACGAACAACAGACTCACGTTCCAGCGCCTCTTTATATCCCTGCACAACGTCAGAAGCAAAATATCCACCCCCCCCCCCCAAAAAAAAAGACCCCCAAATAAAAGCACAACAAAACGACGCCAAAAATAGCCATTTCCAAGTTCATGCATAATGAATGCACCTGCTCTCAACGGCACTTTCTTTTTTTTTTTTATTTTACCTCTCTTCTCCTCCGGTTGGCTGGCATATACGACAGAGAGCAAATACGCTGGGCAAAAACTATCGTGGGAGCTGCACTGGCCCTGGCAGTGATGGACGACGCTGCCGTATTAATCCCCGCCTCCCTCGCGTCACACCCGTACATATACGTACACATTTTGCCAACAAAAGCTGCGACGTCGCGCAAAAAACAACCCGGGTTTTTCCCTTTGCCGTACGCGTTTTTAAATGTCGATAAAGCGAGCGCCGAGGAGCTGGATACGTATGCAGGGAGGACCTGTTTTTTTTTTTCCCTGTGGTGGTAAGCTCCGGTGAAAGGAAATTTTGCGTTGGACATCGCGATGCTTTTCTTTGCACGAGCTGTACAAAGAGGGGAGGGGGGGGGGATGAGAGAAAAGTGCCGAGTAATTGATGTATTATACACATACGTATACGGCTCGTTTTTTCCTCTCTCCCTCCTTCGCGTGTCCCGGGAGATATTTCGATTCACGTGGCCATACTTATGTATATATATACGCTGCTACCGGCGTCGCTGCTTTGAATTTCAAATGTATACCGTCTGGCCCTTCAACGCGTTGGGCCATTGTTGTTTTTTGTTTTGCTGTTGTTTCGATTTCCATCTATATATTTATACACACGAGGGTTCATTGTTCATGAAACTAAAACATTTACTACTACTAGCATGAGCTGAAAACTTAGTTTCTGTCCAACTTTTCTTTTTTTTTCTGAACAATCTAAGCATTTTACGAAAAAATAGCAAGAGGTATTTTTTGTTTAAAATGGACCAATCAACCTAAAGAAATTTTTTTTAGCTCGGAAACGTAAAATTTTTTTATTTGTTCATGTAATATGTTAATAACAATCGACTCCGGACTTTTTCGGGCTCGCACCCAACAGCATCGTGTTTAAGAGGTAAAAATACGTAGAAAAAACTTTGGTGCAGTCGTGGACATATAAGAGGCTACGGATACCTACCTGGCCGCCCCACTAATACATAAATCGAGGAGGGGAACAAAGCAGCTACGATGATTTTTCAAAACAGTCTGCCCACACGCGATGAATTATCGATCGATGATGATGATCGAGCGACACGTTTTTCACGGCTGATGAGCAATCGTTGAATGCTAATCGGCTCGACTTTCTATTCCCTTGGGCCTCCCGATGCGTGTACACCCTCGGCCGTAGTCGTATACCAAAAATAGAAGAGAAGGAGGAGGAGGAAAGAGGTGAGAGCTCGAAGAAAGGCTTGGGAAACGGAGAGTCGGTGTGTCCCTGGTGTAGGTGCGCCCCGGCAAGAGAACCCATAAGTCGCAGCGACTCTTGTAATAATACATATAATTACACTCTCGGGTGGAGGGAAAAGAAAGAAATTCATCATTGCGGATGCACACGGCATCGGGGTGACATCATGAGTAGGCGTGCGTGGGTTGATCCCTCACAGAGACTCCTATGAATACACGTTTCGTCACTGTTTCACGCGATTGCATTGTTTTCCCTACACCTCTTTTGGGAGCATCACAATTTACCCAGTGTCTATCCAATGTGCACATATAGGTACATTTGACTGCGGAGCTGGAATAGCGAGGCGCAGGAAATAAGTGATACATGTATATTTTGTATGGGATTATGAGTCCCTCCCTCGCTGTTACGGAGGAGCGAAACTCGATTAGCCGGATTTGAATACGGTCGTTGTCGCATGGGTATCGTCTTTCCATCATCGGGTGTCCCTCCATTTCTCTCTCCTACGTGTATAGGGTAGCATCGAGGGGACATTGCAAACAGCACCGGAGAGTGCGGGCGCTCGGAAGTCGTTTAGCCCTTTGGAATTGGAAAATAATTCGTCCCCCGAGCGGACATTTGTGCAGCCGTGGCTACGTGTCTCGATCGTTTGTACGCGATACGTGCAGGGATCGAATGTTTAAGAAATAACAAATAAACCGAGAATGGCTCTTCGATTATCAATTTTTAAATGTCGATCATCAAAATACTCGGGTAAATGATTAATGGGCGCTTTGCAAGAAACTCGATTTTTTTTATTCGCGAGATATACGTGAACCACGCTTCCTTATATTTTTTTCCTCGATTCAAGATAACAAAGACAAAAATGAAATACAAAAAAATCCCACATCACCGAGACGTCGTTCCTCATGCGCGACTGAACAAAATATACAGCCTCTGCACCATGGATTAAAAAAGAAACCGTCAAATAAAAATTCCCGATCTGTAGAGAAACAGTGTGTCGCCCAACACCAACAATCGAAGCGCCCGTCCCATTGACAATGCGTGTAATCATTATACACCGAAAGCGCCTCGAAAAGAAAGGAGGGCACCCATTACACATTTTATTCCGGTCGCACAAAAGGCTCTGCTACAATAAAAATACGAGAAAAAAAAAGAGAACACAGCACTAAAAAAAAGGAAAAAAAGAAAGAAACTTTAGGGAGGCGATGGGGGGAAACGGGCAGCTCCGTGTATACGCCCATCGTATGAAACATTGTTCTCCACTCTGTGTACAGGTACTGTCACACCATAGGTATACATTACTCGTGCAAACAGCGCAAAGGAGAGAAGAGACAACGAGGAGCGCAATGCATGTATCAAAAAAAAAGTGTTTTTTTTTTTTTTTTTTTCGCGAAGCCAGTGTATACTTACATAACCCAGTCATACGAGATTCATCATCACCCACGTGCTTTGTCGGGGGGCGTCGAGAGAGCGAATTACAGTGATTCGCCGCCGCCACCGCGTCCGCAAAAGGGCCGCAAAGCACCGAGGCGTGGTCATCCATGTAACAACGCATTATATTATGCGTCGCGCTCGGCCGGCCATTAAGCATCGCCTCCTTTATTTTTCCTTAAACTGCTATCCGTCGAAATAAAAGAGAAGAGCACGCGCGTGTATCTTGATATGCAAGGCGACCGGAAACCTTGTCCCGGATCCAAATCACCAGTATGTATTACACTGTCAACCACATGGCTTGGACAGGCGCTGCGCATCAATCGCACACACGTGTATAGTATTAAATTTTCTATACATTACAGACCGCTCAATTAATTCCGCGCACGGATTTGGTATACCGAATGTAATATGTATCGCGTGCACGCGCGCGAGTTTACACGTACATGTAGCTTCCTCTCCTCTGGCTCATCCAAGCGGATGTGCGCCCGGATCTAGGTTGGCTCTTTGAACAATCCGTCCTGTACAATGATATATATACATATAATATATGTTCGATGATGGACGCATACTTATAGTCTTGAGAGTATCGATCAACGCATCAATCGGAAATATTTCGTCAATATATATATATAGACTAGTGTCACTAGTTTTATTAACATCGTAAAATAATTGTCGCATTAAAAAGCCAAGTTATAAAAATGTATCGGTTCGCGGGCAATGTGTTACGGGTACCTGTTAAAATGAACATCGATAAAATTAACAACCATTTAACGATTGATTTTACGACTCTGACATACCTATACTCAATATGGTTGATCATCTATACCTACAGTTATACTTTGTACCCAAGATGAATCATAATCGTGTATACGTAAAAAAAAACATTTTGAACGAGAGCCGAGGCAAAGAAAGGATCAATCGTCGAAAAAAATTCAATCTCCGCAACAACGCGTGACTCACGAGCAGCAGAGTACTACCGAGTGTATAATATATATACATACAAAGTCCGTCAAAGAAATCTCTTGCAACACGCGATGTATCTTTGTCCCTCCTTCCCTCGTTTTGTATATATATATATATTTACAAACGCGCGGTTGTGTAATCAAGGATCCGACCCAATTATTTGCACTCGTGCTGCTCAAGCACAAATAGAGAGGGAGGGAGAAAAGGGGGGGGGGGAACTTTCTCTCGTTATTTCTATAATATAATGTACACGCGGAAGGCAAGAGGATAAAAGGACGTAGTTTGGCGCGTAAGTGTAAAAATCTTACCTTGAGGTAGGATCCATAGTACTTGGTGACGAAGGGACTGTCGCACTGCGACAGGACCATGATCTCCTGTTGTATGTCCTCGATCTCATCCTCGGCTTCCTCGAGGTCGATGATCTTTATGGCGACGACCTGTTGGCTGCGGTTGTCGATGCCCTTGAACACCTCGCCGAAGCTACCTTTGCCGATCCTCTCCTGTTTCGTGAATATCAGCTCGGGGTCCACCTTCTGGAATCATTGCAGGTATGACATTCGGTCAATACTCGAGCATTACATTGTTTCATCTATATTGTTTATCATTTTATCGTCATTTATAATTGTATATTCATTATTATATATACACGATGGGTTTGTCGTGCTGTGTGTGATTGGCTAAATACGTAAATCCATTTTTACGGTCATTGCTATGATGATCCACAACAATGGAGTACAATTACATCAGTATGTCCTCTCAAAAGTCAAGGGATAAATAATGCATGGTGTCTAAAATTTAAAAAAAAAGGAGGTCATATGAAAAACGTACCAAACCTATATGTATTTCATCATAATCGTAGAGTCAAAACTGAAAATTACTCACATTAAGGGCAACAAAAAATACATACAATTCAGAAACCTGTATATTTTTCCCTGTTCATGTATAGTCCATAAAAAAGAAAAAAAATTTATACACTAAAAAATCTAATAATAACAATGATGATACATGGTAACAAGGAGGTGCGAAGCGCGTCCAACGTAATTATTGATATTAAAACGGTAAATGTTCGCTATATGAAAAAGAGAATGTTCTTTTCATTACATGCATTATACAAGAGTTGTGATTTTATGACGTGAAAAAAAAAAAAAAAAAAAAAATGATTCATCACGATAATCACGCGGAAATTCTACAAATTAAATCGTCACGTTCGGTCACAACTGAACGACTTCACGTAACGAGTCTTCTCCTCTATACTAATTCGTTTTTTTCCATATACCAATATAGCAATAGGTACACATAATTGTATACACAGGCCAGTAAACTTTCCATACGGGTCATACATACGTGTGTGCGTTGAAAAGCCGGATACTAAAAGTTCTTTGTTGTTGCAGTACCTATATAGGTACTGCTGCCGCATGACACACCTTGGCTTTCTATATACGTACTTACGCAGCCGTATGTTGTATACATGTGTATACGTTGAACGAAAAATCGCAAGTGTCTTTGTGCAGACGTTTATGAAAAATTAATGTCTTAGCCAATACGTGTATATATGTGCGTATGATATACGATCAGCCAGACGAATCGATGCGGTATGAATCATATAGTTTACAAACATTTTCTAATTGCATAAGCAGTACGGGATTGCGCACGTGATGAATTTTTACGCACTGATTCATCGGGTTCGTTTTTTTTTTTTTTTTTTAGCTAGCAAAAAGAAAAGGGTAAAAATGTGATTCCTATAAAAATAAATGACAATGAGTACCGAGGGCGGTAGAGTAAATCGTCGTGTAGTAAACCTAAAATTAGAGTAGCGCCGTCGTTGGCTGCTCGACCGCAAGTGCGTGTATTGCGTGTACGTACGAGTGTATATACGACACAACTGTAGCCATATAGTGCATGCACATACACGGGTAATTCCATTGGAGAGCATTCATTTACTCCATCATATTATATATGGCACTGAATGCAATCGATATGCATACGACTTCGGGTCTGACCATATTTTGTTTATACTACTGTACATGATAAATTAGAAAAATCGTATTGAATAAAAATAGTGTGACGCTTGATTTCACTCATAATTGGAGTTTGAGAACTAATTTTTTTCCTCTCTGACTTCGGGACAATTTAGTTTTTTTTTTTTATTATCTGTGGTTTTCTTTAGCAGAGGCTGATTAGAGATTTAAAAAATGTTCACACCTTCGTTTCGCTGTAGAAGCGCGCAAAAAAAACTTCAAAATTATACTTGTCTTATTTGAAATTCAAGTGGATTTTTGTATTTATTATCCCTCCTGAGTAAACTTACAATTTGTTTGGACAGGGTATTAAAAAAAATTAATGTTGGGAACACAAGTTCCGACAATCAGTTCCAAACTCAGGTGATTTTGATCATAAATTGGACATAAATTGACGGACCCAAGACCTGAATTGTGGCCACATTGAATTTTTCATGTGACAATTGTTCATTTGCTTCAAAAAGTCTCGTTTCAAAGAGATTTTTATCAAAATTCAATTGATTAAATAAAAAGAAGTCATCTTTTCTTAAATTTTTCATAAAAAAAAAAAAAAAAAAAAAGATAGTAACCTAAACGACAAAATGGCCCAAACTATTTTAACTTTCTCATTATAACCACACGTGGTACAACTTTTCGTGTAATCTCTCATATGTGTACACGTAGATAGCCGCAGGCATCACGCAACAAGAGAAGTAACACACAGAGTGCACGAAAAAAAAAGGAAATCGTTCGTTCACCCTGGCCTGATGCTGATACACAACCTCCTCCTCCTCCGTCCACTCATCAGACGTACTGTATATATAATTATACCCGCGTACTACATTTGCCTTCTGAGACTTAATACCGGGCTCCGCTCTCGTCCTTGCCTCTTCCTCCTCCCTGGATTAATAAATGCAGTTATATACAAGGTGCACATGCATATATACCTATACACACGGGAGGAACGTCAGAGATATGCCGTTCGCCTTGGCTCGATTTTCTCTCTCGCATTCGCTCTCCATCTGTACAACACATAATAATAACAATAATAATAATAATAATAATAATAATATGTACACGTGTGTGTACCAACTAACGGATGCTCCCGATGACGTCACGCGCGACGAAACATCATCTCTCGCGCGACAGGCCAATTAAGCGCACGAATATTACATCGTACGGGTGCAGAGGACCGACTCCTGATATTGTACGTGTACACATATAGATATACACTACGGGGCGGATCGATTCGCGACAAAAATAAATGCTCATGGTTTCGAGCACCCACTGCGTTAATTTTACCGTAAGCCCCCCCCCCTCTCTCCTTTTTTTTCTTCGTCTTTTTCGTGCGACGACAGGGTTAAGCCGTGCGTGTTTATAACTTGTGGACTCTGGTACAAGTTTTCAGGGACGAGTCGAGATTACTGTACATTTACGCTCTGTGCGACAGCGTTACGTCGCAAGGGGCTATTTTTTCGTGCAACGAAAATTTTACGTCTCGTAATGATACGACGTGCATCGCAACCGGAGATTCATGGCTGCTCTACTCTTGATGATGCATCGTATGATCTTGCGATCCGCCACACGTGAATTATACCTGTATGTATGTGTACGTACACAAGCATATACATTCGTCAAGATGAACAAACGCGAGCTCGTAAATTACCACCGCTTGATTGTCTTTTATGTATATATACGTACAGTATATGCCACCTTGTGACGTGTACGCGAGGCTGCACAGTTTCGTCTCATCTTTGTCTGAAAGTTTTATTACGTAGGCAAGTTGGTACACCCTGTATGATTAACTCCGTGTACTGTTTCAAAAAGTAAAACCGATCCAAGCAGTAGATCATTGCCTTTGGTGCATTATAACAAGGACACCCAATTTCCAACTAAAACCACCTTTTCCCGTACCCGCGTCGAGAAAAAAAAAAAAAAAAAAAAAAAAGGAAAAACTTCGAAGGCCACGCCTGCAGTTTCAAAGCAAAAAGAGCGATTTGTTAAAAAAGTTTAATAATCCAAGCGGGAGAATGTAATCGGAGTTCGATGCACTCGCTTCGGCCCCTCCTCTCTTACCTCACCCGTGACGACAATAACAACAAAAGATTAATTTCGCCGCGTCAAAAGCTATACACAGCAGAGCGTCCACCACGAGTCGTATATGTGTGCACTGTATAACCCCATGCCTAAGCTCTGTTCTTCGTTTTCTCCTCTCCCATCCGCATAATATATTAATGAAAGACCGTAAACCAGCCGATGTATGTATATATCATATATACGTCGCAAAGCAAAGATCGCGCGCGGCGATTGAATGCACGGGGATGATAATCGGCTTTCACCCATTTCTCTCTCTCTCTCTCTCCGGTACATTATACATATATCTGCGAGGCATAGATTAAATCCCCGATGTATATGTATACATACCCTGGAAATCCATCCCGTTTCATTACGACGAAGAGGGTTTACGATGTATATCTATAGTCTAGCGCAATATTCGCTCTTTTATTTTCTTTTTTTTTTCTTTTTTTTTTTTTCACGCGTCCCGGCTGTGCGCGCGATTATTGTTGTTATAGCGCGTCGCGGGAAATTCTACAAATTAAATCGTCACGTTCGGTCACAACTGAACGACTTCACGTAACGAGTCTTCTCCTCTATACTAATTCGTTTTTTTCCATATACCAATATAGCAATAGGTACACATAATTGTATACACAGGCCAGTAAACTTTCCATACGGGTCATACATACGTGTGTGCGTTGAAAAGCCGGATACTAAAAGTTCTTTGTTGTTGCAGTACCTATATAGGTACTGCTGCCGCATGACACACCTTGGCTTTCTATATACGTACTTACGCAGCCGTATGTTGTATACATGTGTATACGTTGAACGAAAAATCGCAAGTGTCTTTGTGCAGACGTTTATGAAAAATTAATGTCTTAGCCAATACGTGTATATATGTGCGTATGATATACGATCAGCCAGACGAATCGATGCGGTATGAATCATATAGTTTACAAACATTTTCTAATTGCATAAGCAGTACGGGATTGCGCACGTGATGAATTTTTACGCACTGATTCATCGGGTTCGTTTTTTTTTTTTTTTTTTTTTTTTTTTTTTTTTTTTTTTTTTTTTTTTTTTTTTTTTT